AAACAGCAATGGTAAATTGTCTGTTAAGAGTGCAGAGTGAACTCTGCCAGATGTTCTCAGGCACTTATCCGGCAATTGAGCGGTGCAAGTTTCCTGGAAAACTGCATGCTTTGATTTCCCCCCATCATCAAAATCAGGTCACACAGGGAAATGTTAAAGAACAAATTGTTAAAGCTTCACTCCACCATGAGGCAAATGCTTTTGCTGTCAATACTTAGAAACAGTCAAAGTGCAAACAAATGAAGGCTTATTACTTATTTCTTTGAGCCACTGGCTATTGGTTCCTATGTCCCATTCTGTAATGATGCATTTGAAGGTCACTACCATGCATCTTTTGTTGTCCTTAGCTTTTTAGCAAATTTAAGGCTGTATTTAATGGTCCCACACTGCAGACTTTGGAAATGAGGTGACCCAGAGCTACTGTTTAAAGGGCACATACAATGGACATTCAAAATTTCCTTGCTTTTTTGAAGTGAAATAGTTTCATGCAGTTTATAAACAAAAGTTTCAAAATGTACCATTCATTTCCCAGACCTTATACACAAAACAGACTTTTACATTGATGTTTTTGTGATGTCACAAAATCCAACACATACATATATCTGCCCATTTAGCCTAGAGCAGATTAGCCCACCAATTCACGTTGAAGTAATAAAGCGTGTTTCACAGGTCACAGGCCAGCCGATCAGAAGTGTTTATATATATATATATATATATATATATATATATATATATATATATATATATATATACATATCAGTCTTAAAGACGCAGAAACAAAAAAAGCCTGGTTAATCTAGCTAGTCTTGGTGCTGAATTTTTTTTTAAACATGAACAAATTCCCTCATCTGTAAGAATCAGCTAATAGACTATTTAGAATTCGAAATTATTTGGAAATTAACCAATGGATAGAAAGATTCATATTTTACTAAGAGTACCATCATTTTTTCAGTACACTGATTTATATTAGTTGGTAATATTGCAGTGGAAGTGTCCTTTATGTTTGTTATCTAACTGGCAATAAAAAGTGGTGGTCAGCCAAAAGTAGGAGTTATTCAGAAAGTGTCACTATTCACCATTCTATCAAATTAGTTCAAACTGCTTTCCCGCACTAAAAAAAAAAGGGAAAACAAATTAAATATTCAGATTTTAGATATTTACAAGGATTACGTTATTATCTATTTCTAAATTATTAATTGAGATTGTAATACGTTCCCAAAAACATATTTCACAATTAAAACTTGTGAAAATAATAAAATACATTTTGAAAGGTTGAAAGGTTTTGAATTATTAAAAGCTTAATTTTTAAATAAAAAAACTGCATTAGAAAAATGCTGTCCCATGTTTTTGTGTCCTCAATACAAAGAGTTTTAGTCCATATGGCAGAGCCTTATTTTAGCCTCAATCCTGCATTTTAGAGCAAGAAGTGAGACTAAGTAAACTTTTTAGTGTTTTAATGAAAATGTCATCATGTGTGTGAAGCTACTTAAAGCTGTGTTTGCTAGTCATGTACTGGCTAGCGTTTTTTGAGTTATGCATTTGAGTTACGCGTCCCTTCATTTTTCATGTGGTTACAAGGTTGACACTGTAACAATAGAAGAACCTTCTGGTAATATATAGTACCCTTTTCAAAAAGATTCTCTATAGAACCATATACAACACATTCTTCATCAATCCGAAGAACCATTTAACAATGCAAAGAACACTTTCAGCATGCAGGAGGTTTTTTGGGTTTTCCTGGTTCTATACAGAACCATTGTCTTTATTAAAGAACCCTTGAAGAACCATCTGTTTCAAGAGTGCAGCCATATTGAGGCCTGAATTTTGTTTGTGCTTTTATCCATTTTTATACATATAGTGTCAGAAACCATGAAAGCATGTCTATTTGAGATTACTAAACATCTTGATATAGTTTGAAGGAAGTATGTGAGGATTTAGAGACTGCACAGTGCTAACTGGTTGCTATGAGCTTCTATTAACTGCCTTGTGGCTTCAGTGCAAAACTAGAAAGATAACTTCAGGCACAATAGTCTTGGGTGACTGATAACAATCGGGGAAAGGGGAAACTGTAAATTTGATTTTCGCTGGACTGCTTTTACTCTAATTAGCACATGTGAATTGCTCTGAGAGAAATTAATCAATGTGACCACATTTGCTTGCCAACAAGCCATGGGCGCTGGGGGTTCGAAAATAGCAACAAAACTGTTGTAATTTCTCCACATGATGACCTCCCCTTTACTGCAACACATTAAATTGTTTCAAATTGCCATGAAAACTCTAAGGCTACGTTTACACAGCAGGTAAAAGTGGCCCAAATCTGATTTTCTCACCAAATCCGATTTTTTTTTGTTTGGCTGTTCACATTATCTTTTAAATGTGATCTGTATGCGACATCAGTCTGAACAGATCAACTCCTAAACCGACCCGCATGCGCAAAAGAACAATGCTTCACGTGTCGTGCTCGTCCAGAGGTAAACAGTCACGACGGCCAGCGAACGACTGTCGCTCCCGCAGCTTTCAGTTTCATCTTCGCCAGCATCACATGAGCGAGTATAAAGTTCCAGTGGTTGACAGCTGGACTCATCACCCAGAATGTGTTCGAGTGGCGCGTTAATCGGCCACGGCCACTTCTTTGGTTCGAGTCCTCGGATTCTTTAAACTGCTCTCTGACGCTGCAGCCTCGGGCTCCTCCGGCCGCGCTCGGCCGTTTCGTTCGAAACCTCTTCAAACACGGAGCGGTTTGATGAGTCTCTTCTAATTTTTTAGTACAGAAACATCAGACTAAATGTTTATGGGTCTCAGCAGCGCGAAATTATGACGAATGTCGAGTTGTACTGACGTAAAAGTCGCATGAAGTCCGATCTGGCTGTTCAGACTGAGTCGTATTGCCGCAGATCGGATACGTATCGGATTTCAGTACCACATATGAAAGTCTCAAATCGGAATTGAAAATGTCAGATTCAATGCGTTTTTTGCTGTTCACTGCAAAACATCTGTCACATTTGAGGAATGGGATTTGGGCCACTTTTACCTGCTGTGTAAACGTGGCCTAACACAGCCTCTTGAATCCTAATTTGAGCCTCATCCACACACAAGCACACACTCCAAGTACATATGGGTCATTTGGCCTGGACACGTCAGTACCTTCAAATGACTGGAACCACATTTGCTTGTCATGCTTTGTGCATGCTTGCATTGTGCATCACTTGGCTAAAAGGGAGCACTTCCAATTAAGTGTTCAGTTCTGTTCTGCTGGGCAATAATTCACAGAATCAGTCTCACAATCACTCTCACAAGCCCAACTTTAAAAGAAAATGGCCCAAAACCACAAAACTGTCAGTCAGATTCCAATGTTCGAAATATCTGAAGGCCTTTTGAGACAGATTTGTTGTCATAATTCAGTTATCATAAGAACTTTTCTATGTAGCATGATGTCACCTTTATGAACCAGCGTTTGACAGTTTTAATACTGTAGGGTGTAACGTTTTCCAGTAAACCTGCTATGTACTCCTGATCATTTTAGTTCCCCCTTATTTGAAAAATAAATGGCACTTTCTGTGAATATAGTTCATTTTTAGTCCTGAAAACTCTTTAAAAATGTACTTTTTCTTTTGTGTTTTTCGACAAAGTATAAATTAACAATCACATACTATGAGTTTTTTTTTAATTTATTTATTTTTTTACAGCATCTTTTGCAACTCTTTTATCAATTTTTAGGGAGATGTATAAATGGCATTTAAAAGCCTGTATAGAATAGAATTTATCATTTTGTACCAAGAAATGCATACATTTATGAAATGCTTATTGAACTTTTCCAATAAAAAACACAACTTCAAAGTTTTCTTTGTGCAGCAACAGATGAGTTAAAATACAAGGTGGGCCAACAAGGTGGGTGTGTAAGATTTAGGGTTAGTAAATTGTAACGCATATGAAAACCTAACACTATATTGCCCTATATGCCTTCCAAAGACTTAACAAAGTGTCTCATAAGTGCAGTCTGTAGTTGTCCAACAAAACCAGTGTACGTTATATTTTGTGTGCAGTGTGTTTGTGTGTTAAGTCCCATCAAAAATTTGCTACAAAATGGTTCATTTTTATAAAAATAGCCTATTAGCTACGTACTGATGAAGACTGTAGTTTTCAGCCACAGTTGTAAAACGCTTAAAAAGGGAACTGTAAGCAGTGTTTGATTCGCTTCCTAAAAGTCAAGCACTGTCTATGACTAAGACCAAGACTTCCTGTGGTGAGCTGTGGTATATTTTAATGCTGAGTGGAAGGATGGCAGTTAACACAGATAAAGGCTATAATTGTGTACACTGGTGATGACCATATCAGGTTCTGTAAACATTTTAGGTTGCAGGCTACTTATTTTTGAAGACTGAAAAGGTTGGTCCACTAGTTATCATTACATTTGTTTTGTAATAAGTAACGATGCATGTTTTATTAATACTGAAATAAATAGAAAACAGGAACATGAATTTCAAGGAATCATACACTTAAATAATATTTAGCTGCCCACAACGAATAAATGAATTTTCATTCCTAAATGCATTATACACGACTTTATGAATATTATTATTATTTTTCTTTAATGACGTAAGTTGTTGGGAGTGGGCTTTACACATGATTAATACAACCTTTATTAGAGAAATAAAAATGTTTTCCATTATACGTCAAATGTTATTCTATTGAAAAATTCATTATATATCCCAAAGTGTTCCAAATAGAAGGACAGCACTTTAGGATGAAACTCTTCAAATATACTTTTCGTAACAAATAATGCCACTATATGTATTGACCAATGGCGTCAAGCATGGAAACGCGCAATTCGAAATAGCATCATTCCTTCCAATCAGAAGCGTTGGTTTAATTATTCAGAAAATAAACCAATTGTGTGGACGGACAAATCAACAAAAAGCGGTATCGATGGGCGTGGCCATTTTCCGGCCAATGAACTGAAGAAGTTGATGTTTAAACTGATGCGCGCGGGCGGTGCTAAGCGTTTAGGGGAGGAACTACGACTCGAAATGCGTGCTTCAAGTTAATCAACAGTCCTACACTACCAGATCACTCAAACTACTGAACCTCGACGTTGCTGCAGTATAATCTTAAAGTTTTAACCAGATTTTTGCAGCGTATACTAGTTTTGCGGGCTAGTACCAGGCAGCCGAATCTTCCATTGAAATGAAAGCGGGCGGTAAGTAACGTTATTTTTATCTGGCTTCAGTCGGCTAGCTAGCGTTAGCTAACTTAGGTAGCTAGGTAGTTTAGTTAAGTTTAGGTTATCAGTATCAGCTAATAATAACTTTCACTATCCGCAACAGATGCTAATGACCGCAGAAGATTCTTAACCTACATTGTTTGTCAGAGTATCATTACACTGTAAGTTACAGCCATTTAACCTAGTAACCCAGAAAATCGGCCTCTAGCAAGGTAACGGTTAGCCAGTTTAAGGCTTTGAGTGTATAGTTGTGTTGCAGATTATATTTATTATTTGTACATACCATTTGTACGTAGTTTTAGCTGTGTATGAATGTTTTCGCACAACGTAATGTTTCCAGTGAAAAATCTGACTAGTGCTAACTAAACCATCGTCTGTGGTGAGGTAGCTAGGTTCAGCTAACGAATGTTACCTTTGAGCCAGTCGCCTATGTTTGCATTCAGCCAGCAGCGAGGAGGGAAAATAAGGCGCTGACTTTAGTTATGTTAAATTACTAGCCAACACTATAACCTAGCTATATTAAAGCAAATCAATCAGCTGTTGTTTCTGTCTGGAAACGCTATATACTGACTGCTACAAAACTATTTAATTTGAGAATCATATATATAAATACCCTTCCCAATGTTGGAGAAATGAATAATATTAGCTGTACAGCAGAAGTCATTAATTCTGGTCCTGAAGGGCCGGAGTCCGACAGAGTTTGCTGATTTCACTGCTTTAACACACCAACTTAACTGGGTTGTTAACGTTACCTAAGTGAATCAGTTTGTTTGTACGTGAAAATGACTAAATTATGTGGGCTCTCGGCTCGCCATAGTTGAAAATGGCCCCTCGTTTAAATATTTATAACCTCGCAAATTCTTGAGTAATGCAACTTGGGGAGAAAAAACACTTGGGCTATATAAAGTTGGTGTACTTTATAGCAAAGGAAATACCCGTTACATACAGTAGTCTGTCTTTTTGTTTAATTTTTTTTATTTATGTATAATGTATAAAGCAATGTACAAACTTTGTCTCTCTATTTCTAGTGCTACATTGTCGGTGCCCTAAATGTTTTTCTTTACCTGCGCGGAAACGGGTCCGAAAGCAGGTTCCCTCAATGACGCTCCTGTCTCTTCCTGAGGAAGTGCTCCTGTGTGTTCTCCAGTGCCTCTCTGCTGAAGATCTGCTGACTGTTCGAGCTGTGAGTGGAGTCGCAGTGTTAGCTAGTCCTTGGCACATTTACTGGGGCTTTATGTTAAAGACCATTCTGACAAAACTTAATATCATGGAGCAGACTTTCGGCAGTGGTATGAGATGTGCACTAACATCTCCCTCCACTTTCTCTTTGTGACAGTTATTTGCAAGTCATCTTATTTGCTTGTGTATTAGTCATGTTTTATAACGGCAGCAGTGGTGGACAGTAACGAAGTAAATGTAATTCGTTACTGTACTTAAGTAGTTTTTTCATGTATCTGTACTTTACTGAAGTATTTCCATTTTGGGTGACTTTACTTTCACTCCACTACATTTCAAAGTCAAATATCTTACTTTTTACTCCACTACATTATGCGAAATCTGTTGTTCCTTTTGGCTGATGTGTGTATAAAACAATATGTGAAAACGAAAGAAACGCGAAACAAGCACACCAATCAGGGTACAGCACACACTTTGTTCTGAGCCTGTTTTGACCTGTTGGACTTAGCTACCCAGTGCAAGCATACGTTTCAACCTCAGTGTAAAAGTTTGGGAGTGCCTATTCCTACATATATGATGGAAGAAACTCCTGACTCTAACCTAACTTTGTGTAAATAGACCACAATATAGAAATATGTACGGATGCAGTTGTGACTGGTATGTTTCTTTTTTCTGAATTTATACAAACAGTCCATTTTATAGTAAATTCATTTTGGCTATTTTATGTTTATGAACAGAGACCTACAGATGCAATATAGTAAAGGGAAACTCATTTGTAAACCTGTGTTTTAAAGCAAGTTTTTATAAAATTTAAACTTGTAACTAAGTTGCAAATAAATCTTAAACCGAAACTTTGCTTGTCTGCAAAAGGTTATTTCATAGCCACTTGGTTCAACCTAATGGAAACTGTTTGCCTTCAGTGTTTTGTGCTTTTGATAATTTTAATAGACTTCAGCGTCAGACTAATTAATGACATTCTATTAAAATATTGGTGTTACGAGAGTGACACTAGAGTATTTTCACTTAATGAGTTGATAAAGCAAGAGTCTTGTTACAAAAATGATAATAGGACGTTAGTCATAATTAATCTTTTAGTACTTTCACTTTTGATACTTAAGTACATTTGAAGACAAATACTTTTATGCTTTTACTCAAGTGGAGGTCAAAAGGGAGGACTTTTACTGGAGTAATATTTTACCTTGGGTATCTACTTTAACTCAAGTACATGGATTGTGTACTTTGTCCACCACTGAACAGCAGTTTTTCAAAAGACATATTTACTTGCATATTTGCTTAGGATTACTTTGTTCTTCCAGGTGCACTCTCAGTTCCGTGATATCATCGACAACAACTCGTGTGTCTGGGCACGGGTCAGCTTCAAGGACCGCTGGCCAGCTCCTGATACTGTCTGGCTCTTTAAAAGGTCTGCTGTTCACTACATACTGCAACAGCCTGTTAGTTAATCTGGAGCTTTAATTTGAAATTTCTGCACTCACTTTTAGCTTTTAACGAATCTGGTTTATTTTTTAACACCAGAGCTGCAGAAAAAGGAAATTTTGAGGCTGCAGTGAAGCTAGGAATTGCATATTTGTATAATGAAGGACGTAAGTATCTTATTCATCAATATACTTGATAAATGACTTAATGTCTTGATCAGTAATTGGTTGCCTTTGTCATTGATTTTGTTATTTCACTTGCTCACTCTGTAATGAATAAAAGCGGTTGTGGCCTGTTACCATGTAAATAAAAAGTTATCAAAGCATAATTTCGTTCATTGTTAGCCACAGTTAAAGCTATCGGGTGAAATGTTCTTTTGAAGTTGATCAAGCAGTGTTACTGTCATTGTTTCACTCCAGCATCTCTTAGTGATGAAGGTCGGGCTGACTTGTGTGGCAGGATGGCTGCTCGATTCTTCAGCCTGGCAGAGAGCCTGCGCTCCCCCATGGCCGACCCCTTCATCTGGGTCTTTATCAGGCCACCTTGGTCTCCTTCTGGAAGCTGCTGCAAGGCAGTTGTATATGACCATCTCAAAGCAGAGAGTGACACCAACTTGGTAAGGAACACTGTACCAATAAAAACATTGACACTCAGTTTTAGCCTCTCCTAATCTATGTATATGTGAATGTATCTATGTATTCTAAGCTTGTTTTTTCAGATTTAGTCATATTGTATAATAATACAAATTAAAGGTCCTGCACAGTTGTTTTTTGAAATCTGTTAAAAAATAATTTCAGTAAATAATTTTAGATATTTCAAATACCTACTAATTTTTTCCCCCCAAAACAACTTTAAAAGGAGTTAGCTTTTACCTGTTACTTTTTACCATTCTGATGTGTGGGTGGATTGATTGACAGCCTCCACGTCAAATGTAATCCCCTGGAGGGTGGGCACAGGCTGAATGTAACTGCTGCTCCATTTAAGGTGGAACAGGGAAATTGGAACAATAAGCTGGCAAGTTAGAAGCTGACTTCAGCTTTGTGTTAATATTATGGTTGAAATCCAAAACCTCTGATTTCCAGCCTGCGCCATATCGAGGCGTCTGCACCTTAGATTTCTGTTGTTAGTCAGCCAGTTGAAGGTTTTGCATTTTAAGTGTATTGTTAACACGAAGCTGAAGACAACTTCTAATTCACCAGCTTCTTTTTTGAGCTTTCCCGGTCCACCTTAAATGGTGCAGCAGGTGTTATAGTAGCTGCTGCACCATTTAAGGTGTTATGGGGAAAACTGAAACAAGAAGTTGGTGAATAGTAAGCCAACTTCAGCCTCATTTTGTTAACTGTAAATTTGTAACCCCAAAACGATCTGAATGCAAGCTAGATGAGTATTATCCTGGCATGTTTGCTAGCTGTCTCACTTTTTGGGGGTTGCAGGTACCAGATATACAGATATATAAGTACAGATAACGGGGAAAAGGCTGTTGGGGTCTTGTCACGGTCAATGGCAGAATCTGTGTCGTGATTAGAGGCTAATCAAATTCTGGTTAAATTGAAATAGGGGACACTGCAGTTAATATTTTATATAAAGTGTAATTCCTAAACGGTGGTTAGGGGCCAATATACAAAAAATACAAATTTAGAGGTCATTTTGAGCACACTGCAGTGCCCAGTGTTGGACAGAAGCAGAAGAATGAAAATGATCACATACTTTCATATGTCAAAGATACTTCCATAAGCTAATGTAACATTTTGAGAAAGGAGGAAGAATACTGTGTGGGCTGCACCCACAGTAAATTTTCCTGGAATTTCTGTTTTAGTTCTTAAAATGAAGTTAAGTCTCTAGATCCTGTACAAATAACACAGCAACTGTTTTTTCACCTCTGAATTTTATTCTGAGATTTTGACTACTTTTATTTGTGTGTTTATTTTTATAGGAGAGAAAAGGAACATTACTGCATTGCCTCTTTAGAGTTCTTCAGTTGTTTGATGTGAGTAGTGTGATTTTTACTAAAGTATAGTAGCAACCAGCCAAGTGGGAAGCTGTTATTTGAGGCTGTTAAACAGCAATTTTGCATGATGTCGCTCAAATAGCCAGTGTTGAAAAAGCAGTGGCATACAAGATCATATCACAGAAAAAGGGTAGTGTGAAGGCACATTTTTGCCGAAACAGAATTAGCTGTGAGAATGTGAGAATTTTTTCTTAATTTTCTGTGCATTCTCATGTACGCTTTTGTGTTATGTGCAAATATGTTGGCAGACACCTGCATGTTTGCAGATATACAGACACAGAAATATAAATCAGTCCTTATTCGTCCAGTATCATATGAGCCATGAAAACACAAACGTATTTATTTATAGGCTGTATGTCATTCATTTGATGTTGCGTATTTTGGTGTGTGTGTGTGCGCGCATGTATCAGGATGAGGAGAAGCACGTGGAGGCACTCGCTATATTGGAGGAGTCCTCGAATTGTGGCAGTGTGCAGAGCTCATACGTACTGTGGGAGCAGAATCGCAGCGCTGCGGTAAGAGGCTCCTGTGAGCTTGCAGCAGTAACTTTGTTACTCTCCCCAGTTCAGTGAAGCTATTGAAAGGCCCCTACTGACTTGCTGGTGTGCACTCCTTGCAGATGTGTGACCCCGGGAGGTATCTTCAGTGTGTGCGAACTCTCAGGGACTATGCGGCCAAGGGCTGTTGGGAAGCTCAGGTGTGTGTTCTGTTTTTTATTTATATTTTATTTTTTTGGGTGGGTGTTGGGTTTTTGCTAGTATGAGTCAATCCTTTATATTTCTACTGAGCTCAAGGTCAGTTAATGGCCATTTCAGCGCTGCTGCTCTTAATGTCCTGGTTTGTTTGTTTCAAAACCTTTTTTATACAGTGTTGATATTTAGAGACACCCAGTAACATTGTAAATGACAATTTTTAAAGATCCCCACAGTGTGTGAAATGAATAGGTAAATATTACCAACCATTCATTGTCATTCTTAAGTGTCGTATGTCTTGTTTCGTTTTCCAAAATATTGTGCTCCTGTAATTGGGAGGGAGATGATTAATTTTTGTTTGGGTTTTTTTTTTTGTGCTCAGTTTGAATACATTTCAGGAAGATTAGCATATTTACATCCAGGACTTCATTTAAGACGTTCCACAATGAGAGGGTTTGACTTTTCCGATCGATCTTTCAGCTCTCTTTAGCAAAGTCGTGTGCCAGTGGCAATCCCCTGGGTATGGAGCCCCGGGCCTGCGCTGACTTAGTTGCACAGCTCTTTCTCTCTTGTCCATCCCCAACTCGACAAGCTGATCTACACAGACAGGGCATCAGTGACACCATGAGGTATCCTCAAAAACGTATAATTCAGGTCACTCCTTTCAGGTTTACATGCACTAAATAGTAGTAAGATATACCTACTAGAGTGTGTTCATTTATTCTTGCATGCATTCATGTATTTTCTCCCCCTAACTTCTGGTAAGGTATATATTGGTGGACTGGTTGGTGGAAGTGACTACCATGAAGGATTTCTCCAGCCTGGCACTGCATGTGACAGTGGGTTGTGTGGACCGCTATCTGTCCCGTCGTTCTGTGGCAAAGGCTAGGCTGCAGCTTTTGGGCATTGCCTGTATGGTTATCTGCACAAGGTGAGGCTGATGACTCACAACTTGTTGAACAGCTTGTTCTTAACAGAAAAGCTATTTTTTATTATTATTATTATTATTATTATTAGTAGTAGTAGTAGTAGTAGTAGTAGTGCTTTTGTTTATTTTATATATTTATTTAAGAGTAAATTTAGCTACCAGCTGATCAGTGGGGACTTTATCTTGGGCCTGAAGAATTTCCTGTTTGCCTATTCAGTTACAACTTTTCAGGCATTGTAGGGCTTTCATTCATGATTGATGGTTGAAAATGAGGTTATCTCAGAGTATTCTCACTCTCAACCCCAGATGTAGTCACTACACCATTGCTAATTAAAGGACTGTGCCTGTTAGGACAGGTGTGCCCACTATCCTCTGTGATAGACTATTAACGTGAGCTTATGATTGATCTGGGGTAATTTAAGATTTACAGAGAACAAAACATTTACTTTCTAATTTTTTTTTTTGGCTTTCTTCTCATTAGGTTTTTAATGTGTTTGTTTAATTTAAATTCTGTTTATCCTTTATTCCTCTCAGGTATATCAGTAAAGATATTCTGACCATCCGAGAGGCTGTGTGGCTCACTGATAACACGTATCAGTATGAGGACTTGGTGAGGATGATGGGGGAGGTCATCTCTGTGCTGGAGGGGAAGATCAGAGTGAGTAGTTCAAAAATGTATTAGAATTACTAATGTATTAGTAATAAATTCACTGCTGTTATTAGTTGGCTCCATGTCCATCTAACAGAGGCACAAGTGAACAAACGTTTCCTGCCAGATTTCTTTTGAGGAAATCTATCCAACAGATGGACTTCTAATATTGACAGCAGGTCTTAGTTGACTACCTCATGCAGCGGATCCAGAATGCAACAACCGTGCATGCTGACATGCTTCTCATTAATTGTCAACTAGTGTATATCCTGTATGTACATAGGAATGAAAAAAAAAAAAAAACTTTCAAACTGAACAGGAATGGGTGCTTTTTAAACTTTTCTGTATCGTTTAGCTGGGTTAGGCTTGGATTATGCCCGTGGTCATGGCAGCTTAGCTAGTGTAGTGAAGCAAGATAGAGCTGCAATATATGAACTTTTGCAGAAATAAATAAATGATACCAGTTGATTATTTGGTGTTTCCAAAAATCCACCAATTTATAGGCATCTCCTTGCTGCAGGTCAGTAGATAAGCATGTATGTTGTCTACCCCTCAGATTCCCACTCTGCTGGACTATGGAGAAGTGCTACAGTCCTTGCTGCCCATGGAGCGGCGAAGTACTCATCTCTTCAGCTACATCTGTGAGCTCTCTCTGCTTTGCTCTCCCCTTGCTGTGCCTGGTCCTGCTCGTCTTGCCTGTGCCACCCTGCTGCTCACACGAGCGTTACACAATTATGGTAAGATCCACCCCCCCAGAAAATGATTCTTAATTTATTATTTCATTTTCCTGAATTGTGGCATCTAATTTGTGCTGTTGGGCCTCATTCTGATAGGTTACCATTAGGTTTTGCTCACTGTCTTATTGTAGCGTTTGCAGTGTTAATATTTTTGAGGTAGTTTTTCCTTGATGTTTCTATTCTCTGTTCCTGTAGCTCCTGTTTGGCCAAACCAGCTGGTTGAGAACACTGGCTTTTCTAAGGAGGAGCTAGTGCCCTGTGCTTTGCTGCTCTATATCAAGTGGTGGGTACTGTGATAAATTTATCAAATAAATTGTGTGAACTTTTGCAGGACAGGAAAAAAACACTATCCAGGTTACTTTTCAGATTTTTTTTTTATTTATTTATTTATTTTAAAAACACCAGTGTTGTCAGTCTGGTTCCAGGTTACCACTTACATTGAACAAGCTGTCAAAGGTGCACTGAGTCAAAAACAAATTTGACACTGTACACAGTCAACAAAAACTTTTTCCAAACAGTGAAAATATTTACAGACCAGATAATAGCATACCCCACTTTGGGGCTTTTTATCCTATGTATGTCTGCAACATTTAATTGGCATCAACATGGAAAATGTCATAAATAATTCTTGTTAATGATGTGTCTTTTGTTTGAAAAGGCACAGTTTGCTAAGCCAGATTGCTGGTTTGAGAGGACAGTGTAACTTAATTGTGGTTTAGTGGTTTAATTGTTGTTCTCTAAATGACAAGCTCATTGATTGGACTATCAAGTTTGAACATTCAGTAGAATCATGTAGGGTGATTGTAATCTATGATTTGTGTAGTCCAGTAGCAGTATTTCTGTTTAATGTTTGTTTTTGTTTTTTTGTTTATCAGATATTAATTTCTCGAATATATAAGCTTTTTGAACTTTATTTTGGTCATTATGTTGATTTGAGTGTTAGTCTGTAAATTTTTTGCATTATTGTAAGGGATTCTAACTGTACAGTCTTGTAACTGAATACCTTCTGTAATGCTTCTGAAACATCATTCCCTAGTTGAAATGTTTAGAAATCAAGTCGCACAGCATACATGGTTTTTGATAGGTTGGTTAAGCTTGCTGGTGAAAAAAAAACGGACAGACATACGGCAAAATTTGGCGATATTTGCTGAATGTCAAGTAGAGTACGATCACAACTTAAGACGTGGCTGTCATCTCATTTAAGAATGAACACGCATCTAAATAAACTGTGTGTGTGTGTGTGTGTGTGTGTGTGTGTGTGTGTGTGTGTGTGTGTGTGTGTGTGTACGTGTACACACACGTATGAATGGCCTGACTCATCAGTATGCCAAACAAATGCACAAGATCTAAACCCAATAAGTGGAGTCAGATAACTTGATCTTTTACCAGTGACAGTGGGCTTTTTAGTTATGTTGATTTTAAACTATAATTGGAAATGTATAGTCACTGATGTGTTGATTAGTCAATTGCTGCAAAAAGTTCTTGCACTGCCATAGCCAGAGCAAAGTTTTGTAATTTAGTGGGTAATATGAAGTCAAAATCAAGCCAACGACTACCTGTTTTGCCACAAAATTTTAAGTGTCTCAGATTTGCTTTTGTGATTGACCTTCTTTCTCTTTCAATTCTTTTGCCAGCTTTAGTCAAGATGCACCCAAAGACTACAGACATGTCTCCTTAATTGGCGTTAAGCAAAGGTTTGAAAGTGATGCATACCAACAGATTAGCAAAGAGCCGGTGAGTATTGTTTTTTCCACATTTTGGTGCCTGATTTTACATATTACATTACATATCGTTGCTGTGCAAAAAAAATAAATCTCAATTATGAAATTTTCAAGAGAAGGCAAAAACACTGTTTAATTCTAATTTAATTCTTTTAATTTCTTATTGCAAGGAGTTTTGGATCATTTCTATTTGGTCCATTCATCACACAACATAGAGGGCAGTATATGCGCTCAAAATTGAAAAAATGGAGATACTTTTGTGTGGGTTTTTGTTTTGTTTTTTTTTTTGTTTTTTTGTTTTTTTTTTGACAGCAATGATATGTATGTGGCTTAGCTGTGATAAACTAATGCATGTAAAGTCTGTGTTAGATGGCTATGATTTTGCTGTTACTCACATTTCACATGTTGGCAAAATTGACCAATACATGTTCCGCCCAAAAAAGCACTCTTCCGTAGCAACTTCTGTAAGGTGCAGTTTCTAAATTATTTTATGTGCGGGACAAGTCATAATATTAGGACAGCTTAAGGGTAACTTTTTGCTTTGTAATTGAAGCTAACAGTAACTTGGTTTTTGTTTCTATTCTGCCTAGTAGGGCTGAAATTGTATCTGATGATTGTTACATGTTGAAACAAACATCTTAGGGCACCAGGTTATAGGTTAGAACTTGTTGAGTCATATGGTGCATCTCAAAGAATGCATTTACCGCTTTTTTTATTTTTTTTTATTTACGTGTATTTGCCTCAATCCAGCTCACCCACGCTCACATTTTGCTTGGTGTGGCATAGGGGTGCAACGATTATTCGACTTGGTCGACTAAAACCGATGACCATATTAGTTGACATCTAATTTAGAAGACATTGCTGCTTACTGGAGAGTTAACAACAGCATGATGGCAGTGAATGTGGGAGCTAAACTCAGAAAAGTTCATAGTTGTGCTATTTGTAAAGCCGACCTTAGCTGGCTCTTGGAGCGCATCCTCCATGTCGGTGCATCTGAAGCGGAAACTCATCGACTCACTGGATGAAGATGATTCTCGATAAGAGATGCCACGTCCCAAACCGCATACTAGCACACTAAATAGTGTGTAAAAGCGCATATTCCATTAGAAGTGCACTCATTAGTGTAGTATGTGAAGTGCAGAAGTGTGTGGTTTGGGATGCGGCGATAGTTGTGCTAGCGAGCTGGTTAGCTAATGCTAACGTTAAAAGCCGCCCTACTTCATGTTATGAGCTGAGCTGTAACATCTATTTCGAAATGCATGTTCTCTTGAATCGTTAATGGAGTTGGAACACAGAAGCAATAACTATTATTCACAGCGACCCTGTTCACTTTTCAAATAACGTTTAGACTTTTAAACACTGCATCGTCGTCTTGACGTCGAGGTCACCGGTGCGGTCAAATTCGGCGAACATAGGAGAGCGTTTCCAAACAGTTCTGTTTTCTGCAAACATTGGCCACCACTCGCTAACAGTTTCAGGAGGTAGTTCTACACGAACAGATAGGACACAAGGTTACCGTTGAAATGAAATGTTTCAAAATCGTTCAAATTTAACTGTTCATGAAGAATATTGCCACAAACGTCTTTGTCACAAACACTTTGCCATCCGCTCCATCAGAGTGCGTCTTCTCTGCTGTGGGGAGTATCTGCTCTCAGAGGAGAACGAGACTCTCACAAGAGCACAGAGAGATGCTGACTTTCCTCCGTTTCATTAAAGATCTGTTATTGTAGAATTTAGTTTCAGCAGAGTGTAGACAGACAGCAGAATGCACAAGGCCCAGACTGCACTGTTTTAAATTTATGTAATAATTGTGACAGACATACTGGCTACTTTAAACTAGCTATAACAACACATGTATACAACACAGTCATGCTGGAACAGAAAAGGGCTTTCCCCAAACTGTTGTCCAAAATGTCTTGGTATGCTGAAGCATTAAGATTTCTGTTCATTGGAACTAAGGGGCCAAGGCTAGCCTCTAAAAAAACAACCACATAGTATTATCCCTCCTCCACCAAACTTTACAGTTGGCACAATGCAGTGAGGCAGGTAATGTTCTACTGTTGTTCGCCAAACCCAGACTCGTCCATCAGACTGCCAGATAGAGAAGCGTGATTTATCACTCCACAGAATATGTTTCCACTGCTCCAGAGTCCAGTGGCAGCATGCTTTACACCACTCCATCTGACGCTTGGCATTGTGCATTTTGATCTTAGGCTTGTGTGTAGCTGCTCGGCCATGGAAACCCATTTTGTAAGGCTCTTAATGTGCAGTTCTTTTGCTGATGTTGCTTCCAGAGGCCCCTGAGTTTGCGTGGTTGTGCTTTGTGACTAAGCTGTTATTGCTCCTTGGTGGTTCCGTTACACAATAATAGTTGTTACAGTTGACAGGGGCAGATCTAGCAGGGTAGAAATTTGCAGTGGCAGAGGTAGCATGCCTTGTTTAGTCACTAAGCTCTTCAGTATGACCTATTCTACTGCCCGTGTTTGTCTGTTGAGATTGCAAGGCTGTGTGCTTCGTTTTATACACCTGTTAGCAATGGGTGTGGCTGAAACACCTGAACTCAGTTAGGGGTGGTGTAATATCGCGTGTATGTATGTATGTATATGTGTGTGTGTGTGTGTGTGTGTGTGGGGTGAGAGGGAGAGAAGAGAGAACATGGCGGAATGTAGTGACAGAGATTCGGAGATATTTCAGCCTTCTAAGAAGACCAAGTCTGACGTTTGGTCATGTTTTGGGTTTTATAAGGATGCAGAAGGAAAGTTAATTGAAGATGACCACCCTGTCTGCAGATGACCACCCTGTCTGCAGAACAGGCCGAAAGAAAATAGCGGCGAAAGGGGGCAACACATCTAACCTTACGAGTCATCTTCGCGACCACCACCTGCTACTTTTTAGAGAATGCAAGGTTAACTTTAACGGAGAAGTCTGTGGAGACTTCGAAATAGAAGAAATGTCATGGTTTGTGTGGTTTAACTTATGCTTATGGTTCGTTAATAATATAAAATGAGCTTTTAGCGTCAAAAAAAAAAAAAAACAATCGGTGAATCAACTGTGAATCGAAACTAAAGCTTTTAACACACATTTCTGTGGAGCAGTGTCTCCAAAATGAGCTCTGAGTTAAGTCACACAAGCTCTGGAACGAGACGCTGCAGAGGTTCAATCTGCACAGCTCCCCTTTCTCGCTTGCAGTGTTTACTTTCTGAGAAGAGAATAACTGTCTCAAATCACTGTGTCCCCTACATAGTGCGCTACTTTTCAAACAAACACGATCATCATTAACAAGCAGTTGAGTTTTAAATAGGGAATTTGTAACCTGTTGTTAATGTTGATTATAGATGACTTAGTTGAACATTCACTCTTTGGGTGAAGAATTTGCTATTTCATGATCTACGAAGTGCACTACATAGGGAAGATGGTGTGCTTTGAGACGGGACCTTGCGCGAGTAAACGGTGTGTGCCACTTTTGGGAAAAGCAGAGTTTCAGAGATTAAACTTTAGTGGTGTTTCTGCCACAGCTCAGATGCATGTTAATTTTAAGTTATGTTTTAGTTTTAAAATGCTTTTAGAGAAGCAGCTCAACAGGTGGAGACACAATGTGTGAGTTCTACACTGTCTGCACTGGTCATGCAATTCCTCTGTGATTTTGGCTGTTTTTCCTGGTGCACTGTGTTGATTAGGGGTACAGCGCCACAACGGCACAATAATGCTGCAGTTGCAGTTAGGACAGAAATCCCCCGAGTGCAACACTTCTTAGAAGTAATAATTTTCCATTAAGACCCACCTCAGAGATTTAATTCTATATGCAGGGAAATCCCTAATTATTGTAATTAATAATAATAATAATAATAATAATAATTACAGCAGTAATAATAATAATTTTACAACAGTAATAATAATAATAATAATAATAATAATGGTCAAACGAATTTCAGTTTCTGTATCTGTATGTATGTATGTATGTATGTATGTATGTATGTATTTATTTATTTATTTATTTATTTATTTTACTTTTCAACGCTTTTGAACAATATCGCGATAATATCGATAATCGTGATAATTCTGGTCATGATAATCGTGATATGAAATGCTGCTGTCAGAACAAAACATTGTATCTCTAAAATGATAACTTTACAGGAGAAGGACAAAACCTACTCTACTTTTAATGTAATTGTATAGAACCAATACATTTCGGGCCATTTGTTTTGGTCCATTCATCATGCAACAGGCAACAGGAATTGTCAAACTATGTCAAACTGAAAACAACAAAAATGGAGAACGAGATTTTGTGTATACTTTTCACTTCACAATTACTTGCTACTTTGTGTTGGTCTATCACATAAAATCCCAATAAAATATATTTAAGTTCTTGGGTGTAATGTGAAAAAATGTGGAAAAGTTCAAGGGGTATGCATACTTTTTCAAGGCTGTGTGTGTGTGTGTGTGTGTGTGTGTGTGTGTGTGTGTGTGTGTGTGTGTGTGTGTGTATGTGTGTATGTATATATGTATGTATATATGTATGTATGTATGTATGTATGTATGTATGTATGTGTGTATATATATACACACACACACACACACACACGAGTCAGGAATAACATTATGACCACCTCCTTGTTTCTATGCTCACTGTCCATTTTATCAGCTCCACTTACTATATAGGTGCACTTTGTAGTTTTACAACTACAGACTGTAGTGGTGGTGGAGTGTTGTGCTGGTATAAGCGGATGGTTCTGTGGAGTTTAGATTAGGCAACTGAGATGGCCTGGCAGAAGCTTGATTTTATTTGTTTATTTGTTTATTTATGTTCAGTAAACCATTTTTGTGTTGTTCTGGACATTTTAATGCAAAATTTCCAGATCATGTTATATAATGGAGTTCATAATGCCATGTACCCTAACAGGGTTCCCAGGGCCTTCCATCCTTCTTTTTACATCAAACCCGCCTTGAGTGCTTGTTGCTAAATCAATTTTCATTTCATTTGACCACAGAACATGGTTCCAGTCAAAGAACCATTAGTATTATAGAGACTTGGTGACCCCAAGATGCTATTTTTTTCTGTCACTTTCCAACAGTGATCCTTGGAATTTTATTTTTTTTTTTGCCTGTCATACAATCTTCCTCACTTTGTGTGGGGTCAAAATAAACTTGGGTCCTTGTTCAGGCAAGTTTGGTCACCGTTTAATTATTGCCCTAACTGTAGATTGTAGGGCATTTTCAATCGAGAAACGCGCAAGTACGAATGACTAAGGCTGTGTTTAAAATGGCATACTGCATCAGTATATACTGTATAATTCATGCTACTCTTCATCAGTAGTACTCTGCAAATTCAATTGTCAGTTCTTGACCTTAGAGCCCAAGCACAGTTGGGTTATGCAGCAGGACAGTGATCTGAAGCACACAAGCAAGTCCACCTTTGAATGGCTCAAAAGAAAGAAAATTAACGTTGAAACCTATTGAGTTGCTGTGCCAGGACCTTAAACGGGCAGTTCATGCTTGAAAACCCTCCAGTGTAGCCAGATTAAACCAGTTATCCAAAAAGAAGTGTAGGCCAGAATTCCTCCACAGAGATGTAAAAGACTCATATCCAAGTTATCACAAATGTTTGATTGCAGTTGTTACTGCCAAGGGTGGCACAACCAGGTATTAAGTTTAGGGGGGCTACTACTTTTTCACATGGGTAGTATAGGTTTTGAATAAATCTATCTTCAAAAAATGGAATGATCATTTTAAAAGCTGTGTTTTGTGTGTACTCATGTTGTGGGTGCCAATAACTGTGGCACATGTGGTTTTAAAAATTTCTTGGGGTGGGTTTATATATTTATTTTTTTTTTATTTTTTTTTTTAAAATCAATAAATTCGCTTCAGTTAAAGGTTGGGTTTATCATTTTTTCAGTGTAAGATTTAGCTAATTCAGCTAAGTTAAATTTCTAGACTCTCTTTTAACAACAACAAAAAGGAAAACCAGAAACAATGAGCAACACCGGCATTTGGTTTTATGTTGAGCTGAATTTCACATTTTATGCCAAATAGCAATTGGATTTTAGTTTGACCAACTGGACACACAGTTGACTACCAATAGTAAATGCATCTTTTCAATAAACAATCCAGTTATAAGTTGCATGAAATGATTAGGTATAGATCTGGTCATAAGATGCTGTAAAGATTTTACTGTGAACTTACTGTGTTAAAGAGTTTGTTTTCTTTATACCCATTTTCAAACCATAACCCATTGGTATTGTTTGTGTTTCACAGGTAATAGGGTTTAAAGAACTGTGCCAAGTGCTGGAGGTTCCAGAGGTGGAACCCAAATTTGACCCTCCTAGTGCCAGTGGCCATTCAGCAGACATGCATACCTTCCTGTCTTCTCCATCTAGCAACAGTAAGAGGTGCGGCTGTATGGGCATCTTTTCTTACATTTTCAAAGTCCATCTACTTGTTTGATTGTACATGAAGGTGACTATAATTAACATAATAAAATATCTACCTGTGCCCTGCAGGAGGCGAGAGGATAGCATGCAGACCCACCGAGGCAGCTTTGTGGCCACACCCACAGCTGAACTGTCCACTCAGGAGGAGACCCTTCTGGGCGATATCCTTGACTGGAGCCTAGACGCTTCCTGTTCAGGTTATGAGGGTGATGAAGAAAGTGAAGGAGAGAAAGACGCTGAAAGTAAGTGAACTAAAAGGTTCCTAAACAAACATATTGATTCTTTGATTAAAGGAATGTTTTTTTTTTTTCCCTCCCCTTTTTAAATAATCATGACTCATGAATCGTGACTCATGAGGCTTTTCAGTTAATCCTTTTGCTTCTTCAGTTCCATTTCTCAGGCGTTCACTGGAACAATCTTGGAGCTGTTTTAAGAAGCACAATGATGAGTAATGAAGGAATATGTGTTTGTCTATTTGTGTAGCCTCAGCCCTCGCCTTCCAGCTGCAACTGTGCATGGAGTCTTCTGACCGAGTGCACTGTCGTGCTCTCTCTAGCGACGAGGATGGCATGAGTGAAACTGAAGCCACTACAAAGGAGACCTTTGGAGGCAGCAGCCGCAGCAGACCATGGTTTTGCCAGCCTTCTTCAACTTCTTCCTCGAAAGGCCCACTCTCCATTGACCTTCACAGTTCTGGCTACTCTTCCGTCCAAAGCAGCAGCCCTTCTACCTCCACTGCTCCCACCCTGGTGACCTGTTCTCTTTCCCCCCTGAGCCCGGTCTCAGCCTCAGTGTCCGCCTCTCCCGGCTTCTGCCTTCTTGTGCCCATGCAGAGGCCCTGTGACTCAGCCCATAGACAAGTAAAAAGGAAGAACACAGCTGCTCATAGTGGTGGAGAGATAGAAATGGAAATTGAAAGGGAGGAACAAGAGATTACTGTCGCCAATGCATCGTTCATCAGTTAATGGCTTTAGTAACAATGATTGTGTGGATTGTTAAGGGTGCCTCTTAACAGTTTGCTTGTCAGGTGTTAAGCCCCAGTCTGTGATAAACAGGCAAAAAGGTTTACATCAGTGTTTCCGTTCCTGTTCATATTATCCACTGTGAGCTTTTAAGGACCATATGTTCCCATAATAGACATTGCTGATAATGAATAAAAGCAAACAGAAAGACATTTAGCATTATGCAAATGAACTAACTGGCCCCAGCTTGTATTCCTTTTTAGCATGAAGTGTTCCTTTAAGAAAAGGAAAGGAGAAGAGGAAGAAGAAAACTAACTGTGATACTTGAATCCTTCCCTTCCTGTGTAACCTTAGTCATGTTGAACTGCTTGTATTCTGTGGCTTTGAGCATGGCTGCACCACAAAGTTGTTTGACAATTCTTTATTATCAAACCACTGGAACTTTCTGGAAAATGTCGTCTTCTGTGCCTCTGTGTCTGTATGAGACCTTTTGCAAATCTGCAGACAATTACAACTACCTGTCTCACATCCCACCCACCATAGGAACTCAGACTATCTCAGAAGGTTTTTTTTATGTATACATTCATATGTATTTTTGCTGGACTGAAAGCTTTTTAAACCAAGGAATATCTAGGCATTTAGAAAGCTTCTTTAAATTGCATGAAATTGTTCCATACTGGGTATACACTGCCAAAACTTAACTGGTCCACTTAACTCTTTTTCAGGGCACTGATTCATTTGCTTCTTTGGACAACTAGAAATATAGGTGACATGTATTGAAGAGTAAATTATACCCAATATGTTTTTGTATGTCTGTTTATATACCATGTGTTTTGTATACTCCCTGGTGCTTTCTGAGTCTCTGATGCCAAAGGTACTTTTTTATTTATTAGTAGTATTATTATTATTATTATTATTATTATTATTATTATTATTTTTTAACATCGCTGGCATGCTCTCACTATTCTCAAGTGTAGTTGACTGAAATTTTTACTGTTAAGTAACTTAGCAATATTTGTACTGTACTATTTCAGACAATACCAAACTGATTGATACCATTTTTTGACGTGTGACAAAGAGAAGCAATGTTTCACCTGTGTATTTTTTTTGAACGTGGAATAACATGGAAACCAACTGTGTTGCAACAAGATCAGTTTAATGTGATGTTGAAGGTGCCGTTTCTTCATAGCTTCAAATGGAAAAGCACTTTCTTTTACCTAGCGCTGGATGAGTGTTCCTGGTGCTAATGTCTTTCGTGACATTTGCTTGAACAATCAAAAGTATGTTTGAGTTTATTCAGTGCTCTGCAGGTAGACACGTACCTGATTTTGAGAAACGGAGGTCAACACAAAGCATTAAATTATTACTTGATGGATTTTGTCAGTACTGTAACTTCGTCAAGGGGTGTGACTGTAAATACTTTTTAAATATATATATGTTAATGGATGGAAGCTGTGAAAAGCCACTACTTGAAACAAATAGTTGTTTGTGCTGAATTTAAAAAAAAAAAATAAAATACTGCATTAGTAAGTATATGTGATTAAGGTTGTAGTGTTTGTTTTGTAGAAAATTCAAAAACTTCCTAGATGTGTATTTGTTTATTTTATTTTTTTTAAATCCTGAAACTGATTTTCAGAAATATGTATCATGAATTTGACAAAAGACAAACATTTGTTGATGTACACAGCCATGTTTACAGAGTCCCTGAGTTGACTGATTTAGTGATTCATATATATTTTTTTTTTAATATGGCGTGGCTGTATATTAATATATTGAGGCCACAGGTTACCTCTTGGCCTGGATTTCTTAATTCGTGGCCTTGACATATTAGTGGCCATGCCTTATTCCAAAAAAAAAAAAACATGTAAAAAATACCGTCACCTTAGGGGTGTTAATGCACATGTAAAGTTAATGTTATTATAACTCAATGCCAGGAGGATTTTTTTTTTGCCATTTCTCAGTGCACACTACATCACTGCTTGTTAGAATGTGAACATGCACAATACTTCCAACATACTGGAGCAAATAAAGTACTTCTAATACCACTTACACATGCATGAAGTGTGATAACATTAAACAAGTAAACCCACATGGAGGGAAAACATCACTCTTCAAAAGCAGCCTTCTCTTTATGTAAAATCTGAATATAGGGGCCAAATTAAGAAAGCCGTTAAGGTGCCATGGTTTTTAATAAGGTATGTCCATTACTATATTGAGGCCACGACTTAACTTTCTTATAACTCGTGACCACAATATGTTAAGTTCTGGCCATGCCCTACTAAAAATTGAAAAAAGAAAAGTGCACTTTGATATATATATACATATATATATGTGTGTGTGTATGTGTATGTATACGTTCTATATGTAGAGAGAGAGCGCTGATTAGTACGACACTAGCGTGTTAGCTTATAGCTAACTAGCTTATGTTTAGCTTATCTTGGGATACTTTCAATATAATTAAATTGAGTGAGCAAGTTAGCCTGACACTGTAAAATATAGTCATATATGACTAATTTATTATATTGTATTTTATTTATTCTGGCCCTAGAGAAATCGAGCTTAGACCCTCCTTAGTTTAGTTCCTAATCATGGCATAATGCGGACTATAGAATGACGCACGTGTCCGGGTCTAAGCTCGATTTTCTCTATGACCAGAATGAATGGGGCCTTCGAAAAATCGCCTCTATCGCACCCTGTGTTATATAAAAATGTTCAGAACCCGATACCTTTTATCCTCTGTATATTTTTCTCCCGAATATCACCGGACCCTCCGAATTACGAGGTCGTTAAATACCTATACTATTAATATTGCTTCATCCAAACTAAAGCTATACCATCCATTTGATGGCATTAAGCTACACGAAACTAAGGCGGGCTGTGGTGGTGTTCTGACGAGCTGTGCTACCTCATCAAAATGTTATGTCGTAGCGCACAAGTATACCCGTAAAAATGTCTAGGTTGAATATTTTGATAGGCTAAAACTTCTTATCAGAAATACTATCAGTGTTAACATTGCGATGCTGAATTTAGCTTCTTTTCGCCAGCTGCTTGTACGGGTTTTCTGAACTGCGGCGCCATTTAAGGTGGAACGGGAAAAATCGAACAAGAAGCTGGCGAATGTCCTGAGAAAATGTTACCAGCATTAAAATAATAATTAGTTAGGATATTTTGGTCGCATAAATCAGTATCAATGGGTCAGCAATAATATTAAGCTGATTCTGTGCCGAATTAGCCTGAGTGCAGGTAAGCTAAGTTTGTAGAGCTTCAAATCCAGCTATGTAGTTACAGAACGGACGGATCTATCATGCTTAGGTGAGTATCGGATAAACAATAGAATAGGATAGAATAGAATAGAGAACTGCAGGAAAACCTGCTTATTTTGTTCTGCATCTGCCCTCAGTCTGTAAATGGAATACACTACCAAACCGCTGCCAGTCTAATAACGTGAATTCCTGATTCACATAATCAGTATAAATGTTTTATGGAAGGTATTGGTGTTCTTGTGCCTGTGTTTGCGTGCAGGTGTGTCCGTGCAAGCATGTATTCTATGAGCATAGTGGAAACATTAACATAGTATCATATTATGACAACAACACAGTAATAAAATAGGTATCGTATTGTATTGAATAAATTTTGAGTTTTGAGTAATGTTACCGGTACACCCCCAGCTTTTACACGATTCTCGTTATTACCGCTACAACTTTACAACTTCCATTTTCTCCGGGCTGTTCTGCTGTGGCGAGCTGAATGAACAAGTTGCCGTATTTTTGATTATCTTATGCCGGTAAGTTTGAAACACTTTTGCTAGTCCGTGGCAATGCATGGTCATGTGACAGTGACTGGCCGTCACGTGACTGGGTTTGTTGACGAGTGTGTTCGCACAATGGCTAGATTGCACGGCCGTTTGGTGCAATGTCATCCGTCCCTTACATTATGTTTTCTGATATAAGTTAACGTTAGCATTCCTCTTCATGCGCGCTCAAAATCGCGACTGCCCCTCCGGCTGATTAAACTGAGGTAGTTAACGTTTATTCAATGTATTCGACCTAAAGGGAAGGATTTTTACTTCGCCGACTGAGAGGGCAGCTCATGAAGTTCGTCCGCCGGACTCTCCCTGTTTTAAGGTAACAGTTTACGTTGTGCTGCTGAAGTGTCTTGCCCTTCGGTTAAGAAAAAATACGATGCAATTCAGACGTGTCACTGCCACGCAGCTGTATTTTTCTCCGCTGTCCGTTTGGGAGAAAAGCACTGACAGACAGACAGACAGGCTGTTCATCCAATCGTGGGCCGTGGATTCCTCCTATTGAACTAGCCATCGAATACGGGGATCTAAGTACCTAAAATCTGTTAGCTAAAATATGGAAACGAAAGTGATTTTTAATTGAAAATTTAAAAAGAAAACAGTCTCGTTTTCAGTTATCTAAGTGGCTCTTTTTGACGCGTCTCACGGCACCGAAACAAAAGCCTTTATCATCACATCTGCTATTCCGGCTGTTCCGGTCGAGCTGTTGTTTCTTTAGGATTTCTAAAAGGAGATGAAATAACAATCGGCACATTTCCAAGCACAGTGTTTCTGAAGGGCTCTTAGCTGGCTTTTATTACAGAGTGCACACAAAGCTTTACTGTCGGAGATGGATCTCAAGCTTTATTCGCCTGTAGTATTCACCTTAGCATTTCACCTCAGTCCTCCTTCCTGGCTGAACATGGGACATAAATGTATGATGTAATGCCATCGCCAGGCCATCGGTTTTCTGCTGAGACACTCAAGCTTTCAACTGACGAGTGAAAGTATGCTTTAAAAAGCCAAAACGATTGTATTTATCTTAGATCGACCAAAAAAGTGTTTTTCGACCTCATCTAAGCACTGTCTAGCATGTATTTTCACATTGATAAGTACATTGGATTTGCATGACCTTTAGCCCTAGTGTTTATGACTTAATTTTGTTTTAGTGTGAGCACACAGTGTTTATGACCAAACAAACTGGGTTTTAGTTTGTTTTTGTTCCTTAGCTGTAGCCTTTTTTTCACATGTCCTTTTGGCACCACTGACATTAGCACTGTTCTGCTTTGCATGAGATCACAATCAGAGAGATCTGTTTGTGTATTAGCTGAGCACTATGTTATTGAAGTTAAGAGGTCTCAACAAAAACTGTCTCAGGCCTTGGAGTGGTCATTGGAATTTGATTTGTGTGTGTGTGTGGCAAGAAAAATGTCAATTCAGTCCTTAGTTCATTTAGAAGTACCACAGTCTAATGTTTCTCACACATCACACATCAAGCTGGTTGAGATATAACGGAATACACATTTAGAATACAGAAATTAAGTATTCAGTATTTTGACAGTCTTTATTAAATACCTCTTATTTTTAGGAAAACAGTTTTAAAATACTTGGCCACTAAATTTTTTATATATATATATATATATATATATATATATATATATATATATATATATATATATATATATAATGTGTGTGTATGTGTAGTCAAGTGCAGAATGATGCCTAACTGTGTTCTGGGGTCTATAATTGTTCACATAACTGGATTAGATTCAGTACGGTTTTAATACATTTATGTTTAGAAGGCTTATGTCACAAAAACTCAAAAGATATGAGTTTATAGCTTTCATGGGGGTCCCCTGGTGCATCTATCAAAAACTGTCCCACTTTTGCTGAATTCATTAGAGAGTTGACAGTCTTGCTTAGGGGACTGAGCTTCATTCAGATAAACATCAAGGAAAGTTTTCATGAAATGTATTAATAAGAGCATTACATGAAGAAAACTAGCAACACTGAGAAACAGGGTAAATTATCTTAAATTTACAATAGCAGAGTTATTACCTGTGTGCCTTTTCAATATATAATTCGAATTATGTATTGCAACGGAATACATTTCTGAATAAGCTTAGGACAGTGTGTTTAGTATTAATCACTTTAAAAGTATTCTGTCCAACTCTGAACATAGATTACTTAAATGACAGTGCATTCATCTGCCCTGAACTTTTAGTAATATTGTTTGTCTGAATACACTGACCATATTCAGGTGTTCCTCTTGTGCTCCATGGGTGCTGAAGACACAAGTGTTGACACAGCCTGAAAAAGTTGACGTTCCTGTGATTGCTGAAATGTGGTAATAATGCCACTAGGGCTGAAAGCAGACACATTTTAATCATGCAGATTTAGATAATGTATATTTTCCAGTAACTTAATAAAATAAAAACACTTCAAAGAAGATTTTAAAGAGCATCTTAATCTGTGCCGTTTTTATACAATGCCCTGTAGATCTGTGGTGTTGTTGTGGTCTCCGTAATTTGAAATAAAATTAACCCACCCAAGTACTGAATGTTTCTAAAACACATTATCCTCCTGTCTTTCCAACACATCCTCTATTTGGTTAGTGTGTGAACCTTGCACAGTTATAGCTACACTAACTGCACAGGTTTGAGAATGCAAAAAATAGCTGCAATCATACTTTGACTGTAGCCTACTGTCAGGCTAGGTGTCGAATTAAAATGCTGTCTTACCCTGCTGTTCCTTTGACTATTCGTGAGGTTCCTTTCAAAGTTTCTTCCTGTTGCTCGTAGGGAGTGTTTTCTTGCCATTGTCACCCTTGGCTTGCTCACTGGCTTCGACCCAGATAAAGCTGCTTTGTGACAATGCCTGTTGTGCATAGTGCTATATATATATATATATATATATATATATATATATATATATGGACTTCAATTGAATGAAGTACATTAAATAAAGTACATTTCTCTTTTTTTTAGGTTGTGAAGCTCTGGTACCTAAAATGGCTGTGCTGAGACAGTTTGGATTGCTTCTCTGGAAGAACTACCTTCAGCAAGTGAGTGTTTCCATTCTAAAAATTGTATGTGATTTTGGTTTGGTTACTGAGTGACGAGCTGTTAAAGTTGCATCGACAATTTATGTGAATCAGTGCTTTTTAAGTTATTCAGGTTAGACGAGCTTTGCATGTTTCATTGTGTTTTCATTTATTGTTCACAACACCTGCATATTTCATTAATGTGTGTAAACTGCAGTGTTGGGGTAGTTACTCAAAAAAAGTAATCCATTACAAATGAATTACCAATAAGTACTTCTCTCAAACTGTAATGGGATTACTTTACTACTTGCTCCCTGGAAAAAGTAATCTAATTACTCATTAGTATACTTTTATGTTCATCACTAAGGATGCTTTCACGCCATCCGGAGCTTCAGACTTTTCAGTTTGGTCTGAACCAAAATAGCAGGTCTGAAAGGTGCCTCAGACCATGGTCTGCGTCAAAGGATCTAAAGAGGTGGTCTTGGTTCGGATCAGACTGAACCTTGGTTTGGTTTGTTTGCAGTGTGAAAACGCTTTTTTGGGTGGTTTAGACTGTTAGACAAATTACAGGAAATTGAGCCGGGCACTCATCACCCATTAAACAATAGAAAAAGAAAAAGAACCGGGGAGAGGAGTAAAATGAGATGTGATAGCACATAGGCAAAGGAAGAGACAAAATATTTAATTGTAATTGTAATTTGGTTCGCCAAATAAGTCAAAAGACAACTTGGAAAAAAACGCATTAAAAAGGCTGAAAATTATATCTTATTTTCTGGGAGGATGAGAGAAGGAGGATATGCATTTTTCTTCTTTCAAACAAAAAAGGCTACCTGCTCTATTGATAACATACTGATGTCAGACGCACGTTCCTCTTCAAAAAAACAATCTGTGTCAAGTACAGGGAAACACAGCCCACGTAGGTGATGACGTCAGAACGTATGTTTGTCATGTAAAGTTCTTTAGTGTACTCATTAATTTGCAATTTGAAACCAAAACTAACTGGATCAAATGTATAAAATGTAAGAAAAACATGAGAAAACACCCTGAAATTCATATGCTTCTGTAACAACTGTACAAGGGAAGACTTAATAAAAAAATCTAGTCATTTTCAACCATTTATTTAGAAAGAAATCACCAATCACAGTAAACGTCATTTAAAAGACGTCACTATCCCTGACTTTGAAGAAGATGCAGCCAGTTATGCGTGACAAAAATTATAAACAGCTAGTGCTTAAACTGTGAAACTACTAAGTAGAAACAGTTCAGAAACAGCTGCCTCGAAATTAAAGCTTTCAGAATAAGACCTAAAGCGTACAGAGCTGTTATTGAACGAAAATCAAGTCTGGGAATGAGATGTAACATTCAGAGTGGTTTGATGTGAAATTGTAGAGACAATTACACCCTCAGATTTCTTTACAGTGGTGCTGGTATAAACTTGGGGTCACAGTGTCTATATATAGAAATTTTATTTCCTGTCCAAAATGACCAGTGAATGTTCACATATCTCCTGAGTTTCTATATGTAAAGTTTTCTTTGGGTACTAATCTTCTTAACAACACCCTACTTATACCTCTCATATTTATAACCATTGTATTTAATAACATTCTATGCTGTAACCTTTAGAAGCACTAAACAATTGAAATGTCTGATTCCTATCAACACCACTGTGAACCACTCTGACTCTTGACATCAAAACATCTAATTACTTTGATCACCTCTTAATAATTCAGTTATGCTGATGTTTTCAAAAATTGGTCAGCTCTTTATTTAGGTAGACTAAGTGCTACATTTACGCCTGTTTTGAAAACGCTTGAGCGGATACCAGAGGAAAACAAAAAAGAAAGATCCAATCCTATCACAAATCTAGCCTGAAATAGCACACACTTACATTGTGTGATGTGATGTTGTTAGCTACATATTTTTCCTGTGGGGTAGTAGAGCCTTATAGGCTGCTTTTAGATGCTTATCTTAATTGAAGCGCTTTGATTGATAATAGCATATTGTAAAACCTAGTTATTTTTAAAAAACAGATATTGGATCACTATTGATATCAATTGATAATGAAGCTCTGAAATCAGAAATGTGGTATTGTGCTGTCTCTACTCTGATCATAGACATTGCAGGGCTACATTGTCTAAGGTTGACCAATAAGCTGCCTTTGGCTTATAACTTAATAAAAAAAAAATATATATAAAAAGAGGATACACATTAGGATACTGAAACATAATGGTTATGGCACACAATCTGACCCGAAGACAAACATTTCCTCCAGGTTATTGTTTGCAAAGGCAATGTATAGAGCAAACATTTAATCATTATTTGTCTAAGACCTGGAGTCTGGCCCTCTTCAATGTGTTATAACACACTGAATCCATACACAGCCAATCAATGCTGCACTGAAAGTCACCTTTTGAAGCAAATTTGTTTAATCCACTAAAGGTGTTAGGTGTTTAAGAAAGTCGGCTAATGCGTTATCTGCTTGGCTGGTTGGGAGCAAAGAAGATTTCTGTAGTCAAACAGCCAGTCCCAAGAGCTGAGCCCTTTAACCCTTCTCAAAAACTTGGCGAAGGTCTGTCTTGATTTTCTATCCATTGAAGTACAAAGGTTTCCTATCAGCACTGGCCAAAGCATATATGTGTTGCATATTGTGTAATGATATGATGTAGCAGTGTATTTCTGATACTAAACTGAAACTGTGGAAGGGTAAATGTTTAACAAAAAGTTCTAAAGATAATTTTTTTATTGTTTTCTTTCAGCCATTTCACGGAAGTTGGGTCATATCTACGTGGCTTATGCAGTATAGATAAACGTGGTGGCGTAAAACATGACAATAATTTGTAGAGCCTATGAAAGCACTTTTTTTCTGTATACTTACTGTGACATTTTCCTCTTCTATGTATGAGTTTCAAAATCCCAATCAATATAGGAATGAGTCACAGAATTACTCCATACATCCCACCCTCCTCTACTGCAGTACTATCTCCCCCTCTGCCCAACTCTTGTAGCCAAGTGGGGATGTTCATTTAGGGTATCATATCATATTATATGTTTGTACTGTGGTTTTGCTTGTTTGTGCAACATAAAGACAACATTTAAGCTCTTTGGACTGAACTTGCTCAATCAAATGGCGTTTGAAGTGCTGCGAAAGATGCATCTATTCCCCTTGGTTGGGGCGAGTTGTTTGTCCTCTAACCTCCTGCTGCTGCTGTAGTGGTTGCTAGGAGATGTGGCCCAGCAGAGTCTAGTCAGGAAACCCAGGACTTGTCATGGCCTCCTTATGGTCAGGAACATAAGCGTGAGACACCTTGTATTTGACCGAGCATTAACATGGTTTATATAGGGGGATGAAGAGTTCATAGGAATAAACTGGGCAAGTAGACAGCGTAATTACCTGTATACAGTAGGAGAGTGCAAAAAACATTAAAAACAAAATAGGTATGCTGGTTATAGCACATGCTTATTTTTTTACAACAAAGTCTGCTGAATCTAACCTTAGTGGATACATTTTAGTTCCAAATTGTAATGGTAATTTCATGCAGGTTTCTGCCTCACTGTCAAGAATAAAAATGGCTGTATCCTGTTTCAGGTTTGCACATGTTTTTTCATGTTGCCATGCTCCCAGGAATATTTTTCCCAATTTTCTTCACTGTAAACATGTTGTGGCACTTGTTGAACAGACAGTATTTCTTTGCTTTTTCTTAGCAATCATCATAGCTGGCAGTACAGTTTCAAACCATCAGCCTAATGCCTTTTGTCTGTAATTGGCATCGGACAGATGTTTACATTTGGCTGATATTTCAAACCAATATTTGGTAGCATTTTTATTATACTCTGGAAAAGCAGGGTGTTTAGGTGATACTGGGCTACTGTGCAAAAATGTCTGCATGTTATTCATTTTACTTCATTTGTAACCCTATAAAAATAACATTATATTTTTCTGTAATGCAAATGCATGTAGCTCTAGACTCAGTTTTGACATTTTATCTATATTTATGTATTGATGTGTATATATAATGAAAAATATTTGATGTCGGTATCAGCCCACAATCCACATATCAGTATACTCCTAAAACAAATTGTTTTCAGTGTTTAGTATAGTTAATGGTACCAGTGGCATAGCGATGTCTGGATAGGTGTCAATATAAACTTAATACGTTATACATATATGAGCTAATTCAGTGCTATAAAATAATATCTAGTTATTTTACATAATTGTGTTCACTTATATGCATAATGAGTGAAAAATGAAAACCCTCCAAAAGAATTAAAGGACGAAAGAGTAAAATAATATAATGGATCTTAAAACTGATTCATTACATTAGAATGTCCATTTGGGTTACTGTTGTACATTCACCACTACACAAGTGGATGGTACAGTGAAAGTATCAAATCATTGATGTGGTTTAATTTAAATAAAAACGAAGCATCAGTCAGTAATACAGTATACATGCATGTATATATTCAAAAAAATGCATGTTTAAGCATGAGATATACAGGTACCTATGAAATGATGTTTTTACTGATGTAAGTGAAGGGTTTAATGGGTTGTGTAACCCCAATGACAGGTGATGCAATTGCACAGAAAGTCATCAGCGAAGGTGTTGTCACGTGAAGGTGACGATTAAGTGAGCAAGGACATCTGCTTTGACAAATCCATTTCACATTGATTCCACCATCCTCGCACCTTTTACTGGTATCTCTTCCTTGTGACTTAGCTCCAACCTCTGAGGACGCGAGGAAGTGATATAGGGACAACTGAGTTGCACAATTGAAAAAATGGAATGCACCCAGTCCCTACCTATCTCTTATTCATTTGCCATCTCTCTTCCTGTCTTACACTTTGTTTTCCCTCTTTCCCCTGCAGAAGCGTCAGATATTGGTCACACTGGTGGAGATCGCCCTGCCCCTCCTTTTCTCTGCTATCCTGATCGTCCTGCGTCAGAAAGTGTCCTCCACCAACTACCCCAACGCCACACACTATGGGAGTTTCTCGCTGGAAAGGCCACCCTTTAAGCTTCCTTTTGGCTTGCAGCTGGCCTATGTTCCGGCCAACTCCAGCAAGGTGCGGCAGGTGGCCGAGGATGTGCAGCTCAGTCTGAGCAGGGGTTTCATCAGTGCTGGTAAGGGTACATTTGGATGAACCCAGAGCTAGAATACAACAAAAATAAGGACTTTATTTTTCATAGTGTGGTAATTTGAATATCTATCTACAAACTTCCTTTTTCAGGAAGAGGAAAAACAAAAACTTTCCATTGGTTTGACTTATTTCCTTTTTTGTTGATAAAGGGACAACATGCCTCAAGGGATTTTCACAAGCATATCCAGTAGTGGTGTAGCAAGTTGGCTGCACTGACTTCTGAAGAAACTGACGTCTCTGCAAGCTTTGTGGGAATTTTAGATGGCTAGAAACGTTTTACCACACGTGCCAATCAGGACATGGGCCGTACTGATCTCAGGAAATTCTAAAATACCTTTGATTCATTATGAACCTATGTAATTGCCGAAAGGCAATAATAAGGTCCAAACACTACACTGATACTGTGGACCATCACTGCACTTTAGTCAAATAAAGCCCTGTTGAGCTGGTATTAGTTTTACCAGAGGAAGCCTGGTAATGTAATTTGTCTGTGATTTGACTGGCCGATTTGTACGGGATAAAGGAACTGTATAACTTCCCCAAATAGCCTGGCTCAAAACATCATTGTGTGCATATTTATATCAACATTATGTGACAGGTACCACACTCCTGAACGAATCACCACACATCGTGTGACTAAATGGTAAATAGACTAGCATTCGGGTAGTAAAGTAGGTTCATTCAATTGACCAAATGCCGTCCAACAAGACAGAAAACGCACTGCCTTGCGAGAAGTACTTTCATGTTCATAGTTCTTTTCTTTGTAATTTGGCCATCAGCAAAAATGTTGTGGACATCAGTAGTCTTGTCATGAACTTGAGCATTAATGAACTGGGTCAAATCAAGCTCCATTTTAGCTGTTAGCTTTGTCTTTAGGTAGAAAAGAAGAAAATAAACGGAGTCATCATTTTCTATGAAGGTGAAGTCAGCTTCTTATTCGTCAGCTTCTTGTTCTATTTATTTATTTATTTATTTATTTATTTAAATTGAGGTGCCAGAATGTAACTGTTGCATCATTTAAGGAGGAACAGGAAAATTTGAACAAGAAGCTGGCGAATAGGTAGCTAACTTCAGCCTTGTCCATTTTTATTTTAGAGATGCAGAGCAGCTATGGTTTCACAAGCCCCCACTTTGATCGTGTGTTAAACCAAAATGTATAACCACCAACACATATGTTCAAAAGACTACATGTGTTTAAACATATGTTTTAAATAATTTTGTGATAATATAAACATGATAAAATGTTTGGTAATTATTGTGATTTTTATTTTTATTTTATTTTTTTGTATCGGCACCTGCCTAGTGATGTGATGTGTTACTTGTAATTTAAACCTATTTAAAACTGAACCTATTGAACCTAACCTTTTTAGACCAACCTTTTTGCCTAGAGACAAAAATCCCAGAATGAAGCCTTGTGTAATCTCCATGATTAACAATATTTTTAGATTTGAAAATATTAATAAACGTTTTCAGGTTTATATATGCATTTTTGTTAACTGTAAAAGGCCTGCAAGTGGAAATGGACCATGGATGTATGGTGAGTCATGCAGTATGGGTTCCTCAGGCCTGCACTGTTGTGTGCGATTACTGTGAGGTGTGACTGACTGTGCATCCTGCATGAAAAGTGCAGAGAAGGACATGTGAGCTGGCCATAGATTGCTGCAGTACTAATAGCTCTGTTGTGTGGAGATGTGTTGTGGTGTGATTGATTTGAAAGAGAGCTTTTCAGAGTGCATGACCTGTGGATAGTGGTTTTTGGTTTTGCTCATGGGAAAGAAGAGTGCTCAGCTGACCAAAGTTTAGCTGACTCCGTTATCTTGTACTGAAAGAGGAAGGACATGCAGCGATGCTGATTTCCTTGAAATTGCAATACAGTCCAGCCCAATCAAAGAGAGGCTTGCGGGTCACTTGACTGTGGATCGAGCTGATTGGGTAAATACAAGCACTGCAAGACATCATCGTTCTTTGGTTTATTCCTTTGTCAAGTATGGGTGGTTATAGCTTTTGTTTGCTAAGGTGTATCTTCGCGGAAAATTCATGGCAAAATTTTCCGCTCAGTTTCAACTCTTCACACTTAACATGTGCAGTAGCTATTGAGTTGTCACTCTCAAAAAAGCTTCCAGCTGCTACTTGCATTACCTGTTTATACTGATCAAACAGGGAAAACAGGGAGGGTCATGCCTCAGACAAAGGTGGCAGGTGCAGAAACAGGGAGAGGAGGCCCCTGTTTCTCCAGAAAGAGGATTGGGCAGTGAAACCTGTCTGTCCTCTCTAAACCTCTCTTTGAGTCTGTGTATGTGTGTGTGCGCATGGCTTGTGCCAGAGTCATGACCTGGCTGAATGCCCAGTGCTGCCTTGTCTTATATTGCCTTTCCCTTAAATGTTGTTCAAGAAATACTAACAGTCATGATAAGATTAATAAAGAACTTCAGAGGATCTGGTAATACTAATAATTGAATAGCCATTATTTTGTCACTTAATATTACTAGTGGTAGTTTTGTGTTGTGTTAGTGGCAGTTTGAAAAGATGTGCTGGCTTGCTTCACGTGACTCTGAAGAAGCATACTCTTGCTTTCACCCTCGCAGCTTGGTAGCATTGTGTGATGGGGAAACCTACCTGGAGAGTGTAAATAGGCTAAAATTTGTGGAAAAATTGAGTAAAAGCTTAGAAAAAAAGGAAGATTCATATGTAATGTTCCAGCTGTGCTAGCTCTCTGTAGCCTGTCTTTGAGCTTGCACCCAAGAGAGTTCACGTGCTTATCTGCAGTGGAAAATCCAGAACTGTCAAATAAGTGTGGCACATAAAATAATACCAGGCAAGTTATAAGATTACATGTGGTCTTTCCATAAAACGGAAATTGGAGATGCAAATACTTTTTCTTTTAACTGTAATAGACTTAAAAGGAATCACGACTTTGAAAAAACACAAAGGTTTTTTTTGTTTTTGGTCTTTTTTAGGACTGGTGTGAGGAATTTTCTTGATTTTAACCAACCATGAGAGTTACAGCTTTTACAGTTTACTGTTTAAACAATTACTGTTTAGTTAATTAGATGGTCTTGTTATGATAACTCATTAATTGTGATTGTGAGTTAATTAGATGGACTTGTTAGGATAACTCATTGATTGTGACTTCTCCTTTTTCATGGGGAGTGCTTTTGTTCAGGTTTAATTAGGGTTTTATTGTGAATTCATATCATCTAATGTTTTGCTGTAGCTGTCAGTGGTGCCTTACACTGAGTGCAGCTTTTGTTTTGATGCACAAAGAGCTGTAGTTAATTAGACATTTAGTTTCACTATCTTACAAGGTGGCAAGGTGGAGCTGATGTTGTATTAGTAATGTCTTCCTAGAATTATGATTAGTTCATTTCAGGCTTTCTGAGATGAGTTTTCCAAAAACACTGCAGAATGTAAGAGTCAATAAAGTAGGTTTTGAATGTTTCTTTCAATAGGTAAAATTACTCTCCCTGCCAATTCATTTTATTCTTTTGATTTTTGATTTTTGTTTTATCTCCAGTGCGTGGTTTTGAGACTGAGCAGCAACTTGAGGACTTTGTAAAGACAGACCCTGAATCAGTCATCTTGGCAGCGGTGGTCTTTGAGCACTCCTTCACACATGATGACGAGCCTCTCCCACTGCAGGTGAGACCTCACCAAAACACTGTTTAAATGCTTTTGAATATGCAGTATAATCATAAAACATCATTTAGTGTCAGACTGTACTAAAAGCATTAGGGTTTTGCTCTATGTGGGTGGAACCACTGTGCTTGAATCCTTGTTTAACTTGTTTTGTGAAATTCCTTTGTGTCCTGACATTATTTTCTTGCTCAGCCAGTGCAGCCTCTGCTTCTTCATTTCGGTCACTGTTCAGAATAAAGGCCTAGTATTAACTATAATTATGCTTGTTGAAACTAAGGCAGGAGGTCCATGCTTAATAGGGAATTCCACAGATTTTTCCAAATTTATGCATAGCAATTCAGAGTGGTTTGATGTAAAATAGTGCATTGTAGAGAAACATACTGACTCAGATTTCTTTGCAGTTGTTGTGATGGGAAATATTTACTGTCCAAAACGACCAGTGAGTTTTTATATGTAATGTTATATTATATAGAAATGTTGAAAAAACGGTAGAATTCTCCTTTAAAGGAGAAACTCTATGGTGTAAATATCTCATGACTGTACAGGTGAGTAGGGTGGATAAAGCATGTTGAAGTATGAGTTTTTATTTTTGTCACATAGTGTCTGAGACTCCAGTCCTGTGGATTGACTGGTGTCTGATTCTAGGTCAGAACTGATGTAAGGCCTTGATGTTAGTATCAGTGTCTCTCTCCTTGCCTCACACCTGCAGGTCAACTATCACCTGCGTTTTACGTATAGCCCCCGAAATGCGCCGGCCCGGGAGAAGTCAGAGCTGAATCCCAATAATGACTTGGACTGGCACACACTCAGCCTTTTCCCACTCTTCCAGCTGCCTGGACCTCGGGAGCAACATGATTCCCGTGGAGGAACCCCAGGTCAGTCAGCGTTTGTAAATTGTGAGGAAATTTAGTCTACCTTCTTTTATATTTCTGCAAGTTTTCGTAAGCAGTAAAACATAGAAAATGAGCACCTGTAAATGTATCCTTAAGAGAACAATACATTTTGCATTGGTTTCAGGTAGAGGTACTGATTTGACAGCAGCATGAGGTCACTCAAATACTCATTGGTTAGTGAGCAATCAATTTGTCACTATAGGAAGCTGATACAGCCTTTTGTTTTCTAGTCATGTGCTGATATTAATGGGTTGATTTGCCTTGGCAGACACCTGCCAGTACATACCATTTACCTGAGCAAACAAGCTACAGGCGTAAACATGAACAGCATGAGAGGAGATGAGCGCACGTCATCTGTGCTGATTGTCTTAAGAATATCCTTTCTCAAGGAATTTTATGACATTCTCTTGATTAGTGATGTAAAGCATGGTCATTTTATTATGCATCAGAACATGTTGAGTTCCTCTGCTACTACTTTGCAAAGGGGGTGCAATGAGCTAAAGGAGCCATGTCAATGTGAGCACCTCAGCCATTTAAGCCAATTTACTATTTAGATATTTATTCAAATGGTAAATAAAACAGTTGTGCAGAGATTTCTAACTTAAGCTTCTGAAGTTTTGAAGCTCTTGATTTTTGTTTTTTCATGGATGGTCAATAGTTAATGTACACTTGTGTTTGTAATGTATATAGGATGTATGTAGGATGAGGTCTAGTTCAGTGGAAAAAGTTGTCCGGCCATACTGAATGACACAAAATACACAAGGCCGGGTGAGAAATTATTTGACATATGTTATCACAATGTTGATGTAAGTTGACATAGGTTTAATTTGGCCACTGTAAATGTAAACTGAATGAGTTTACAGGTAACAGAAAAGCATCATAGCCTTTTCCGCTGTTGTTATTTCTCATCTGTTGTTCATAATAATAATAATAATACTTTTTTATTAAACCTAACTCTTTTTGTACACAGAAGGAAGCTTAGTGCTTCACAAAGGAATCGAAGGAAGTGTCACAAAGACAAAAACATTAGCATTCATTCAGCTGACGTCCTGTAACAGTCAAACCTAATTAAAAACACTAATGTCATAACAATCTTTATACATTTGTAAATAAACAAATAAACAAATAGCTGGTCGTAGCTTTCTTTTTCACCAGGGAAAGTATGATGTCTGCCTCTCATGTAACCTGCCAGAATTCAAACAACATCTGGCATCTTTGAACATTGCAGTCAAGATCTATGTGGTCCTAAATTATGCTTGCATATGATACTGCTTCATGTTCTTGAAAATCTTTGCAACAGAACAGCAGAGGGCTTAAATGATGTCATTTTAGTGTCACTTTGTGACTGGGTCTTGAAGAATTTCATCTTCTCTGTTTTCTGTGGAAAGGTTACTACCGAGAGGGCTTTCTGATGATCCAGCATGCTGTGGATCAGGCCATCATGAAGGCCTACAACAGGACAGCAGCAGCTGCCCTCCTCACCCAGACACGAGTGCTACTGTCACGCTTCCCTTACCCAGCCTTTATATATGATGTCTTCATCCTGGCCATCCAAAACCAACTTCCCCTACTGCTGGTGCTCAGCTTTACCTACACTGCGCTCAACATTGTCCGCGCTGTGGTGCAGGAAAAGGAGAGGAAACTAAAGGTGTGTGTTTATGTGTGTGTTTTGTGGGAGCCATTGGCGTATGGTGCTTTAGATGGAGAAGATGCTTGAGAATTCTCCTGATTTTTCAGATGCATGAGAAGTAGGGATCAATTGATTATCAGCTTTTTTCCGATGATTGGAGTCGGCATATCAATGTTGCTGATAAAAGCGCTTTTTGTTATTTATGTGCATATCTTGCACAGCCATGATCAACACAACGCACTTTTGTAGTCTGGCACAACTCCTGGATTGCTTGAGATGTGGGTGATGCATCAAGTACAAACGACCAACATATCTGTAGTCTGTCTCTATGTCCGGCCTGCAGTGCTATGGGTTGACTAAAACCAATCAAACATGTATTTTGGTGTTTGTGAGAGACGTGGTAATAAAGCAGCACCTGAATTTGCTTCCACAGCAGTTTGCAAAAGGCACTAAACAAACGTGACTCGTGCATGCAGCTTGAGCCGTGCCCAAAACATCACATTTGTTGGGTGAGAGTAAGGTTTCTGTGAATGGGATCAGACACGGTGTGTGGACCTATACTGCTTCTTTAGTAAAACGTGTTAAAAATATATGTGCTTATAGCGGAGCTTCAGTGGGTGGCCAGTTTCCACCTCTCGGCGTAGGCTAAACAGGCTGTATCCCTCTAATCATACAGTGTGTTTTCAAGAGCCAATAAGAATACATCTGATTCATTCAACATGTCAAACTGCTGCTTGGTGTCATTTTTGGTTGAACAACAAAATGAAATAAACATGTTATCATTCAAATACCTTCAGTGTCGTTGCTTTTTACAAAGTAGTGACAATTTTACTGCTTGATTGCTCAGATACTGTAATATTTTACTGGGGTTACATTTACAGTTCTGTGTACACTTTATACAGTTTGTTAGCCTGTGTCTAGGCTTACTTACTTGCACCCATATACTGAAAAAGCAAGCTCCACCCTAATATGTGCCTTTTATCACTAATTAGTGACTCATACTACGTGTTTGTTTTATATCAAAATTGTGTAAATATAATTGTGCAGATTTTCTCATTTAAAGTTTTGAGGTCCTTTTTTTTTTTCTTACAAATGTCCCTGACTATTAAATGTCATTTAAAAGAGCTATTTGAGTAACTTTTATGATGTGTTTAAAGATTACTTTAGTAATGCCCATTCTGTCTAAAGCTCAAAGTATTGTTTTTATGTTCTAATATTCATTTAATGTAAGTTGTGAATGAAAGTTGCAGTATTGAAAATTTTTACACTACAAGCATCAAAATTATGGTAAATGAATATCAGCCCCTAATACCCCCCCTTATAAGAATGTCCTTGATGACTGATATTTGGTGTCTGTATGGGTCCTGAAAAAACATACAGGTTGACCACTAATTATAAATGTTATGAGTGCTTCCTGTTATTAATGGGTGAGTTGACATTTTTCATTTGTTTATTCCAGGAATACATGCGAATGATGGGTCTCAGTAACTGGCTGCACTGGAGTGCCTGGTTCCTCATGTTTTTCCTCTTCCTCTCCATCTCCATTTTCTTTGTCACCTTGCTCTTGTGTGTTAGGGTGAGTAGCCAGAGTTTTCTTCACACCTAAAGCAATGGTCCAGTCAATAACGCTAATGTTGTTAACAGCAAATGAATGTGAATAGTCTGTGATTAGCAATATTCTAACGACACCAGGTTAATTTGTGACTACAAGCTTGCATTCATTGATTGCAACATTAGCCCTTGTAGTTGAACTATTCCTTTAAGAGTAAGTCTTCTGGTGTCGTGCTCGGTTTTCATTTTCCAACAGAAAATGGCAAAATTTAGCGCTGTCCCATTTGCACACGTGCAGGGGGCAGGGGAAGAACAGCTTCATATGGCCCTTCACATATTTACAATTTATCCTTAAATCTGGCCCTGACAAATGCATTTTTTTTTTTCATTTTTCTGTGGTTAAAACGTTACATTAGGCTTATGTTGTTAAAAGCAAAAACTGAGCTCTACATGAAAGAAAACCTGACACAGGATGAATGTTGCACGTTGAGGGGCATGGCCATAATTTACTAAATAAAAAATAACTAACTTGGCCATAATTCTACTGTAGACCAATAGATAGTTAAATCTGCCTTTGTGGATTTTATGTATTTATACCACAATATTATATATTTTTGATAGTAGTACTACTTGTAGCCTTTGGTGTGTACTAACAGAAGAATTGCTAATAAACATTGACTAAGATATGCTTAAATCAGTGTACATATTAAGTAGTAAAAAATTTGTACTTGGGGGGAAAAAATGTAGGACACTTTAGGTCATATGTTATTTAACAATGTTAGGTTAGAATACATACTTGTAGAAAATATGGGACTTTTCCCTTGTATTTTTTTTTTTTATACCTGCTCACCTTGGAGCGCTGCCTAGTAGCCCCCAAGGTATTTGAGTTTGAGACCCCTGCTGTAGGGTGTCCTATTTCTCGTTTTGGCATTTAGAGGGGTACTCACGAGGGCCCTCTACGTGCGCTCATCAATGAAACTCGTCGGTGGCGTCTTCTACCATTTCTTGACATACAGGCTAGGAGCTTAATGACCTACATAGCAGAGAAGAGGAAATTCAGCTGTGAGCTAAAATACTATTGTTTATTAATGCAGTTTGTCATGCTTTATGCGTGTATTCCATGCTGAGACACTGAATATAAGCAAATAATACCATGCAACCAAACAAATACTGCATACAGACTGGGTATAGCCTGTGTGATCCACAATTCTATCCCTAATTTATGCTCTTGCCCTCTATGTCCATGTGTTGTTGATGTTACCAAATGTGGGCTTTGAGTCAGGACTTTTGGGACAGGTCCTTAGCTTTTTCCTTAGTGTTTTCCTTAATGTAACATAGTTAGTCCATCTCATGGGTGAAATATCAAAACCTATCAAAAGTTTAATTGTTAGAGAAATATTAGAGAAGTAAAAAAAACATAAAACCAGAAGTATCAAGACCCTCTAAAAGAAGAGTTGTTGTTCTAAAACAACTGTTCATGATTTGTCATTTTGTTATGGGTTTTACAGGTGAGTCCAAATGGAGCAGTGCTGACCTACAGTGACCCCACTCTAGTATTTGTCTTCCTGCTGGTCTTTGCTGTAGCTACCATCAGCTTCAGCTTTATGATCAGCTCCTTCTTCTCCCGAGGTATTTCTCTCATCTCCTTCTAGTTAAACAACTGGTTGCCCTTTTCAGTAAGGTATGTGTATGAACTGTGTCCCGTATTCTGAATATTCAAGATGTAAGAACACAGTAGGGTCAAGTTTATTGCCAGATGCCTTGAGAAAACCTTGTTTCATCAATACAGCTGTACTTTGCTGTTTCTCAGTTTCCAGTTCGTCAGGCATGCTTAGATGCGTTTTATTTGTTTTTAGATGTATCGAGAACATGAGTGAATAAGGCCAATATTATTTCATAGATTTCCAGTTAATTGAGTTAGCAAGCTATGAGTATTGATTGGGAAGAACTTAAAGGCTGTGAGGCCAAGCAAGCTTACAGTCAGCTCGAACAAAGACATATAATTAAGCAACAAGAAGTAGACAGTTGGAAACAATTCGAAGACGATAGACGGACAGGTTTAACTGAATGTGTGCTGGAACCTAGGCTTCAGTGTAGTGAGCAGTGCGAGTGAAAATACTGGAAGAGACTCAATCATGCGTTATTTTGCCTCTTCTGACAAAGAGGAGGTGTTTCAGTGTTTGATGGTGGTAATGGCTGGTCTTCCCATAAGAGCAGGAGTAGATCAGAGACACTAGTTAATAAATTACCAATGTGAAAATTAGATGTCAACTTTAATGGAAAATCTGAAAGAAGTTTTCTCTTATTGATTGTGCACATGAGTCTTTTGCTCTCACACACAAAAACACATGCAGACAGTTTGAATTCTCTTCAAGTAAAGTTCAGTATGGCAAGTAAGATGTTGCTGATGATTATATGTTTTGTGTTGTTCTTATAGTTAGTGTTCTGTGTGAGTGTGTACATTATAAACTAGTGAAATGTTATGATGGATGTTGCAAGAGAACAGTTAAACAGTCCCTGAATTTGTTACTATGGAAATAAAAGGACAAAAGAATAATTGGTGACATACTGTTCTCTGCAACTTTCTTGCATCAAGCTTTCACCCTCTATAATAGTCTTTTATTCCTCCCCATTCACTGAGACAAAGCAAGCTAGATTAAAATGGCCACTATTTCCTTGTGAGGGTGGTTCACCATTTCACAGAAATGTAACCAGAGTCCTTGTAATACACACAGTGTGGAACACTGGGCAAAAAACACAAAAAAGGCCTCGTAGCTGTGCCTTGATTGCCACTTGCGCTTGCTGACCTCCACAGGTGATCTTTTAAAGGACCTTTGGACTTGTCCTCCAGCTTTCACCAAAGCAAATGAGGGTAGATCAAGTTCTTTATGTGGAGACCTGCTTGGGTGAGGCCCTTGTTTGTTTGACCACAACAATAGAATCTTTAGGCTGTAGTAGGAACAGATGTTTTACTTTACACCAGTAGTGTTGATGGCTCTCTTTGTCCTCTCCCCTCCCCCCTACCACTGCCTCCAACAGGTGAGCTAACATGTCTCTTAGGCAATGAATAATTTATAGTGGTTATATCAGGTTACCAGTGGCTTCCTGGATATTTGGCACGTGAGAAAAGCTGCTGTGACAAGGGCAGGACAAAGATATCTATGGAGACCAATGTAGCTTTAATGTCATCGTTTTCAATTTTTTATTCATTATTATCTGTGTTAGTGGAAGTGTGCATGAGACATTTTTGTAAACAGAACCAAAAAGAGGTCACTTCTCATCTGTGTGCAGTTTATTTATTTTAAGTTCATTTTAGCCTCATTTGAGTGCTGTGGTAAATTTGTTTTCCTTATTTGCTGTTATGTATGAAACAGAAATAAAAGCTTTGACAAGCTGCTCACTCAGGAAGCAGGTCATATGATATGAAACAGGACAGTGGCTTTCTTTCTCGCTCTTTCTTAGCAGAGTGCACATTCTTTTCCTACCACATGTGGAGGGGTGAAGCCCTCCCTTCTGTCTTTCTCCTGAAAGGGGCCTGCAAATGGCACTTAATCTATATGTAGCTGCTCTCTCTGTGCTCCCTGATCCAGCTCAGAATGGCACATTTTCAAGTATCAGAAAGTTTTCAGAAAATTTTTGTCCTTCCCCTTGCATGTTCTAGCAGCACAGAGAAGGCTTGCACACAGCTCTTGCAGGGTGTGGTGGTTTATAATAGAGAGTTTCAAGTGACTTGTTCACACCACATGCACCTGCTATCTCATGCACTACGCAACCTCTCACCATGCTCACCTCTCATTTGGTGTGTGCGCAAGTAGGCGTATTGTTCTTTGTTTGATAAGAAAATGAACCTCTGAATCAGTAGGCTGTGTTATTACTTGATTATCAAACACTTTTAAAACATTATTATTATTGTAGAGACACAGGGGTCAGTGGTGTTTATAATTTTGCTCCCTTATTTGTTTCTCTCTCTATGTTAGCTAATGTTGCAGCAGCTGCAGGTGGCTTCATCTACTTTTTTAGTTACCTGCCATACCTTTTTTTGTGGCCCCGCTATGACCTGCTGTCCCACGCCCAGAAGGTGTCTGCTTGCCTCATCTCCAACGTGGCCATGGCTATGGGAGCGCAGCTCATTGGCATGTTTGAAGGCAAAGGTCAGTCAGTGTACCTCTCTCTTTTCCTTTGTAACCCTTTTAATGCTGATCTCGAAATACAGCATTTCCAGTAAAGGAATCGTTCATATATACACAGTTTTCCCCTTTTTCTCAGTGTACTCAATGTCCAAAGTAAGCTTCAGTTTTGTAGTGTAGCGATTAGGTTAATATAATAGAAGTCAGTGTCTCAAAGATTTTGAACCTCATAGCTCTAGGGCAGTGCTAAAGAGGCACACTTAAGACACTTCAAAAAATGTCTTGGCTGATAGACAACATTTGAGAGAAGGGGGAAAATTTTGTAAATTTGGTCCTTTCTTTAAATGGCCAATCTTTGTATTCCTCTGATCTTGTTTTGAGAGATCACTTAAAAGCTGCCTCTTGTGTTCCTATACTGTTCTTTCCTGTCAGGCACAGGGATCCAGTGGAGTAACTTGTTTGAACCAGTGACGGTGGACGATGACTTCTCACTGGCCCAGGTTTTTGGGCTGCTGCTCCTAGACACTCTGCTGTATGGCATGGTGGCCTGGTATGTGGAGGCTGTTTTCCCTGGAGAATATGGAGTGCCGCTGCCATGGTACTTTTTCGTGCTGGTAGGTGGCTCACACATTTCAGATCGAATGCAAACATGCAACTTCACATGCAAAAAAGGTGCCTCATAGGAAATATTACAGCACACAGTTTTTATGTAATGACAGCACAGTCTAATTTAAAGTTGTCATATTAATACCAATGGATATCAGAAGAAAATGCTGCATTGGAATACTGCAGGGGGAAAAAAAGAATGAATCTGCTCTAATCCTGTAACAAATATATCCTGAAATAAAACACACTCACACTGTGTGATGTCTTGTTGTTAACTGTGTATTTCTTCCTGTGGTGGGTTAAAAGAGTGAGTAGTTTCAGCATAACAGACTATTTTGAAATACTCATTTAAAGGAAGTGACTCAATTAAAAAAATAGCCCAGTAGGTATTGCCAGATTCTCAAGATTTCAATGAAAAAGTGATATTGTGCCATCTGTAGTGTAATTGCCCTTCTAACCCAAACTTGATTAATCCTGCCTTGCTGCTTAGCTGAAACCTGGATGACTGGAAATGCATGTCTCAGTGGGAAAACTGTGCTTATCTTTCTTGAGTCTGGACACATGATGACAGGAAGTCTAGATATAATATCTTCCATTTACTGGTAGGCTCTAGCACTGGGTGGAGTGGGGGGACACAATAGCCCTACAGTTTTGTGCAAGACTATTGTAAGGGGTATTCAGTGCATCAGAGCAAGACTGCTTTGAGAAAAACTTATGAGAAATGACACGTCCAAGATGGAGAAGCTGCTAGGGTGTATGGTTTAGGAGGACAATAGGCCTTCTTGTCGCACCTTCTGATGTTTTTTTGAGTTCTCTTTTTTTCTAAATCCTCAGTCCAGAATCTGGGCATGACCTCAGCATGCTTTGGAGAAATTGCATGGATCATGTGGCAGATTGTAGTTGCTTTTTGTCTAGGTGTATATGCTGATTTGTACCGGATTCAGGTGTATTTATATGGACAGGGTCAGAAAAGCAAGAGTGAAAGAGGATTTTGATTGGACCGTTACAGGTATTCAGGCCACTGTTTTCTCTTCATTCTTGTTTTGCCGTACACACAGACACATGGAAGCTATTTAACTGGAATTAACTAAGGGGTATTTTTGCATTGTAGATTGCAATGTCTGAATTAGTATCAGCCTCAGTTGACTTATAAATGCTCTGATTAGTATATAAAGCAAATTCCTGATCCCAGAACAGCACTGTTAGACTGGTCACTATATCTCCAGAAATCCCCTGTTCAGTGTCATGTTAAGATTTATTTAAAGAGCCTTTATAGTGGCCATTGTCACAAAGAGGTCTTACAGAGCACTGGGGTCCAAGCCCCAAATGAACAAGCCAAGTGAAACAGTAGCAAGGAAAAACTCCCTAAGAACAAAGGCAAAAAATCTTGAGAGGAAGCAACTTAAAAGTGGATCCCATTCTAATGTTGTCAAAACTGAATAGCAAAACAACTTCTTACAACTAATGTAAAATCTTGAATATATTAAAAAAATCAGAAAAAGAAACCAGCCTGTCCTTGAATCAAGTTAAAGTTTATTTATACAGCACTTTTTACAATTAGCGTTGTAACAAAGCAACTTTACAGAAAAATACAGGTCAAGCCCACATGAGCAAGCCAGTGGTGATAGTGGCAAGGAAAAACTCCTTAAGCTCAATAGGATGAAAACCTTAAAAGGAACCAAGACTCAAAAGGTGAACCAATACTCTTATGGTTGACACTGGATGGCAAAATAATAACACAAGAGCAATTAGACAGAAGTACTTACATAAATCTAGATTAACTGGTGACTACCACTGACTACTGTTGGAGGCCTATCAGAATAACAAATTAGAAATAGCTCAATCTAAACTAGTCACTGTTACTGACTAGTAGCAAAGTTTGTTACTGTTACAGTCACTGTTACTGTCACTGACTGCTGTTAGAGGCCAATCAGTGTAACAAATGGCAAATAGATCTATGAAAACCAATGACTGTTACTAGAAGTGTATCACAGTGAAAATGAGAGTTAAATTCATGAAAATCATTGACAACCATCAGAAGCCTATCATGATTGTATATTTTATGAATATGTGAATAACTGTATTGTAAGGGAGGTGAAACAATCTCTATGATTAAATATTTCTAGTGTGAGTGTGCAGGCACCAGTATAATTAGGAGGGTGAGTGGGGCATGTAGGTGAGGCTTTTTGGACAGCAGTAAATTGACTGAACATGCAGGAAGTTGAACTGGTTCAGATGACTGGTGTGCAGGGGCACCCAGTCAAGGCCGATAAAGCAACAGCATCAAACCAGACAGGATGGGCACTTTTTCAGCTTGGCAAAGAACACCCAATCAGGACAAATCTTGCGACAGCATCACACCAGACAGGACAGGTAGTTGTTCAGCTCGGCAAAGAATAGTATAGACAGTTTTGTCTATTGATGACTGGACACAAAATATATAGTGTTAATATAGTGCTGGCAGTGATTTCGGCAGACCTTGCTATTACAGCCTAACTAAAATGGAAGAACCAGGAGATAGCAGAGACATGAGGGTCCCTGAGATGTCAGTGGCCCTCCACCTAACTTGGCAATGTTTCAAACAAGGAAAGCCATCTTAGTAATTTTGCTTATATGTGCATTGAAGGACACGTCGGGTGTGATGCCAAGGTTTTTCACAGATGTACCTGACGCCACTGCTAACCTATTAAGATTTAGCAGTAACTCAAAGTTTGTTTGTAGCAGCATGTGTATCAAGAAGGACCTCCATTTTGTCAGAGTTGAGTGACAACACATGCTCCTGCAGTACGCCTATGTGCCCTGAGCTTTATTTTGAACATTTTGAGTCAACATTTTATCTTTTAATTAAACAGCTGAGGAGCAACAATTGCTTAACAGGTTGGCCAACATTTCAGAGAATCTCTGTTACTAAGAGTTTACCCAGAACACATTTTCCATTAACAGTACTATTGCATTTTAAAATTATATTAAGAAGGCACAAGTGAAATTTTTACATATATTTAAGTCGAAAAGCCTACAACTTTGTGAGTGTAAAAAATATCAGTTTTCCCTTTGGCTAATTATTATTTATGCTTATGATGCTTTGCTACTGCATAGTATGTAATGTTCCTTATAAGTTAACTCTACCTCAAGGACAGCATACCTAACTCAATGTTCAGAGGCACATAGGATTCTACAGAAAAATTAGAGCTTTGTTTGTAATGGCATTGTAAGGATCTTGCTAGTATATGGACCCTTCGACACTACCAGTGCTGTCATGAATAAGTATTGTTATCTTATGCGTGTGGGGCTGGAGTAGTGTCATTTGGAGTAGTCAATTTGTTAGAAGAATTCACACTAGGCCATACTGGGCCAAAGATTAATTTGCATATATTTCTATATAAATGCCTATGAATAGCATTAATTAAAGGCTAATTTCACTGACTTTTCACATTTCCTTCATAATTAAATGGTAATATATAAAACAAAAGTCATTCAGAGTGGTTTAATGTGAAATGTGCCATTCTAGGAAACTTTCCATGTCTGAATTGTTCACAGCGGTGGTGATAAGAACTGAAGTCAAAACCTTGATTTTGTGCTGCTGCAATCATATATTTGTCAATTTTGACATGCGCTTGATTCATTGTCTTGTTGGAAGACCCAAGCATGGCCCAGATGCAGCCTTCTGGCAGAGGCGACATTCATTCTTTATGCCACTGACCTTAACAAGAGCCCCTGGACCACTGGCAGCAAAAGAGCCACCACCATATTCTACCGTCGGTATGCGGTACTGTTCTTTGTACTCTTTCCCTTTTTTTTGCCAGACATGACAAAGGTTTGCATGGCCAGAAAGCTCAATTTTTGTCTCTGACCACAACACATGATTCCAGTTGTAATTCCAATGTTGTTTGGCAGTTCAGATGCTGGGATTTTTGTCTTGGTCTCAGGAAGGGCTTCTTTTGTGGAACTCATCCAAAAAGCTCCTGGACATGGAGATGGCGTCTGTTGATTTTGAAACGGTGAAACCCGGTGATGCAGCTTAACTTTGCGGTTGTGAAAATGTGAACTTTGGGCTTTTCTTTGCCTATTTTAGCATCCTTGTCACTGTGCATGGGGCAGTATGGGGATATGTCAAAAGTATTTTACCTGTGTGTTGCCTCATATTTATACCACAGTGAAATGGGAAATGGTCGTAGACAGCAACAGAGTTAATAGACACTAAAAGCAATATCAAGAAACATCTCTTGGTTTTATTCATGGTATTCTTCAAAGATGCCAATAATTTTGCCACATAATTTTTTGACAGAATTAACTATTCCAAAGATACAACAACACTTTTGCATGAATTATTTTTTATTGTATGAGTAGTTACCAATTTCTCCAAACATTTGTGGAAAAATAGAATCATTGGAGTTATTACCTGTATTTGATTAATGTTTTTGCTTCCTTGAGTGCCAGGATTTCTGGAGTGTACTTTGTATTCATGGCATTGTAAGACAAAATAGTACCCAAAGAAAACTTATTTTTAGGTCTACCACTATTTTACTATAATCATTACATATAGACACTTAGAAGACACACATAGATTCACTGGTCCTTTTAGATAGTAAATAAAATGGCCATATTCACATTGCAGACATCCAGATCTCTGATTCCCATGACCTCCACTGTAAAGGAAATCTGAACCTGTGCATTTCTCCCTAATGCACCATTTCACATCAGAACACTTTAAATTACTTTGTCTCAGCGTTTGAAATATTTAGAACTGTCAATTTTATTAGAAGGCCCAAAGCCCATTAGCTTTTGATTGTTATAGCTTGAAGAAAGATTGAACTTTCTGTTTCTTTAAAGACCGAGTAATTCAGCAATTAAAGCCTACCGTGACTAGAAGCTAGAAGGTTTGAGCAAGACGCTGCTTCTTCAAGCTTGCCTCTCCCACACGCTGTTATGTCAATGACTGAATTTCCGAACTAGTCATCGGAATTTATTGTATTTTTTTTAAAAAGTAAATAAAAAATTTTGTTTTGTCCAAAAAAATACACATACCACATAAAAACCATACTGTAGTATACAAACTTTATGAAAACACTGATTTTCCGTGGTGTGTAATGCATTCCCTGGCTATGCCTTTCGCAGCCCTCCTACTGGTGCAGCAGCCCTAGAGTTGCCCTGGTAAAAGAGAAGGAGGAAGAAGAGGATGCTGAGAAAGCGCTTAAAGGTGAATTCTTTGAAGAGGAGCCAGCTGGACTGGTCTCAGGAGTCAAGATCAAACACTTGGCCAAGGTATCGTGGGACACAACTGTGTGTCATGTCCATCTTTTAGTTTTATTTAGAGAGCAGATGACTGTACATTCATTGAATAAGATCAGCCTGACCAGTACATGAGCCATTTCAGTAAGCTTGGTTTTTATCCAATTTTATATAATCTTTTCTTGCTCTCTTGCTATTTGCATCAGTCTAATTGAGGCAAAGTAACTAGATTTGTGTTTTTTTCCCCTGCAGCTTTTCAGAGTGGGCAATAAGACCAAAGAGGCAGTGAAAGATCTCACTGTGAACATGTTTGAAGGTCAGATTACTGTGCTGCTGGGACACAATGGAGCTGGGAAGACCACCACACTGTCCATGCTGACTGGTGAGATGTTCAAATTTATTAACTCCAGTAACCACTGACAGGCACACTTTACCCAGGCAAAAAAAAAAAACTAAACTACGTCTCAGAGGATCACCTTCTGATTAAAGTAAACATTTTGAATGAATGCTGTGAAATTGTCACTGTCCCACAGCAACAGTCTGATTTCCCTCCCTTTTCTCCCCTGCCTCTATTCCCATCCTTATTTCTTTTTTTTTCTACCAGGCTTGTTTCCTCCCAGCAGTGGGCGAGCATACATTAATGGCTATGATATCTGCCAAGATATGGCGCTGATTCGCCGCAGCCTGGGTCTGTGCCCTCAGCATGATGTGCTTTTCGACAACCTCACTGTCCGAGAACACCTGCTGTTCTACACTCAGGTAGCCCCAATCCTATTGCTAGCTCCTTGGAAAGTTGTAGGCATGAGGATATGACCAGCCTGTCATTGTGCCCTTGGGCAAGGCTTAACATCTATTGCTCCAGGTGACACTGCTCTGCTGGTGAGACTGTGCTACTCTCAAGCAGGGTATTGTTAGGCAGCAAAGTGACAAATGTCTGTTGCAGAATGGCTCAATAAAGTAAAACTTAACATCCTATTACCATATTAGCAGCTGTTACAGAGTTTTTGTAGTGCATTCGATACTGGTGGTCTATGATTGAACAGAATGTGAATGCTGCAATCAGAATCCAAATCAGAATAACTTTTGTCACCTCATGTGCGTAATACACAGGAACTTAACTTGGCAGGTCAGCACAAGAACATATAATATGTAAACAAGCAAAAGTGTTAACATACAAATATGCAGAGTTCCGAAAGTACAAGCATACAATAAGTACAAAACAAGTCCACAGACAACACAGTGTTATGGTGAAGGTCAGTTCTTCGTATTTATATTTGGCTTATCGAGAAGGGTGAAAAAATAACTGCTCAGGTGTTGCATGGTTCTGGTTTTTCTGGAGCAGTACCATTTCTGAAACATAGTTCTGTTGTTTTGTGCGGTCCATGATGATTTTTTTTTTAGCTCGCTTCCTGACCTTGGTGTCATGCAGCTCTTGGGATTGAAAAAAGTAATAATAAAGCTAATGATGTATATTTCTGTGAAACGCTTAATGTTCACTCTCTTTTTTCTGGTCTTTTTTTTTTTCCATTTTGTCTTGCTTCTTTTGTCTCTCCAGCTGAAGGGCTTCCCCCGTGAGAACATTCCAGATGAGGTGGATCGCATGATCCGCATCTTGAATCTGGAGAACAAGAGGAATGCACGGTCAAAGACACTTTCTGGTGGAATGAAGCGAAAGCTGTCTATTGGAATTGCTCTCATTGGAGACTCAAAGGTCAGCCATTGATGATAGCATGCACAGAGCCCCAATGAGAATTATGTGTCATGTGTCAAGTGAGTGCTGATAATCGTTATCATAGTGTCAACCACCTTGCAAGTTATGAGACTTCTGGATGGATACATATTTTTGTAGTTCAAAATCCTATTGATCTATTTATAAATCTCTTTTACCATAACATCATCTAAAATAATTAACATGCTTATGATAGCCAGGCTTTGGAATGGTGGAGGATCCCAGTGCCCCCACAGTGCATAATCACAGATGATACAGTGTATGGAAAAGGTAATGAAATGTGGAATGTCTGAATTTGACTCACTTTATTCATAAAAACATGGTTAACATGGTTCACATGGTCAACCTGAAATCAAAACTGACCTTTTTACCTTGTTAACCTTCTTTGTTCATGTTAAGCACATTTTCTTGTTCCGTGCGATTAACAGTGAGGGAAAACAGGTATTCAGACACTTCTTTTTTTGTTATTTACTTGCACTTATATATGCTTCCAGTGTGTATATGTATGTATGTGTGTGTGTGTGTATATATGTGTGTATATATATATTTATATATATATATATATATATATATATATATATATATATATATATATATATATATACACACACACACACTCATCATTTCCCTGGACTTTGTTCTTATAAATATGGATAAAAACATACAAAGATATGTTTAATATATATTGGGCTGGTCCCGAATATCCAACTATTCGGATATAGGTTTGGGTAGGTATTACATTTTTAATTTTGGGATTTGGTTATTAATTTTTTTGGTTATTTGTTTGTTTGTTTGTTTTTTTCTGGCTAAATGTAGGCCGTCAATAAAGTCGACCTGCAAAATATGTTTGGGGTTCTTGGGAGAAACTTAGATGACTTGAGGTTACGGTTCAAAATGCAGCACTCTGCTCTACTCCGAAAAACCCACCACTCTACCCATGTTTTAACATAAAAGTCCTTGTACAACTTAATACAGCCCAACATAAACATTTCTTCACTTTAAAAAATCGGAATTTCTTACAACCCAGCGTGATGGCACCACAAAATATTTTGTCAGCATTGTAGCCATCGCTACATCGCTACAGGGCTAGTGGGCCTGGTAGATGGAGCGAAGCCACACTGTAAGCGCCACAGTGCCCTGTGAGGAAAGCATCTTGTCTAGAGATGCAGATTTTATAGCGGATGAAGCTTCGGATGTGCTTTCAGCACAGGCGTTGGACATGAATTTTCTGAACGACTTTCTCAGCCCTCAGCCAACCCCCCCACAACCCCATTAGGCAAGGCTTACTTGCATACTTGTTTCCTCTCCCTGTAAAAGATGCTTCCAAAATCTTTATACTTAAAGTATAATGTGTATTGCCCACTTTGAACCTAGAATATCGGGTTTAACCCGCCCCTTCTTCCAAACCCCACCTATCATTGAGTGAAACGCTCAGCCAGCTTAGAGACTCTCTAACCCTGTTTACTTCTGGTTACTTCATGCATCTTGAGTATCAGGATTATATAAACACATTTTTTAGACTTACCAGTATTTTACCATTGTCAACATTAAATATATAAAACTCAAAGGAAACATGTAGGTTCACTGGTTGTTTCGAATGGTAAACAAAGTGGCTATACTTGTGATGGAAAAGTAAAGTTTCTCTAGAATAGAGCATTTGACATCAAAACATGCTGAATGACCTTGTTTACATCACAATTATGAAATTATTCTGAGCTTTTTTTTTGTTTTGAAAAATGGGTGAAATTCTCCTCTAAGGTAAACGGTGGAGTGGCCATTTTGAGACTTATTTGAACTCTCTGGATTCAGAGTTTTCAGTTCCAACCATCTTGATTTGCTTAATTATTCATTCATGCAAAGAAAGTACAGCTTTACTTGTGGGTACAGCTTTATTTGTGGGTAGACTGCTGGGAAGTTTTAGGAATGCAAGATTGAGGCAACTGGAGCGGACAAAATTATATAAAATGGCTTTGACACGTTCAGTCTGCTTACTGCTGTTTTTGAAACATATTCAATAAAAGAAATGAAATCTTTAAGAATGATTCAGCCTCGCCTGAAGCAGACACTGTGTATTTTTTTTTTTCATCTGTTCATGGGTATATTTTTATTATTTGATTTTGTAGGTTGTAATGTTGGACGAGCCCACCTCAGGAATGGACCCATCAGCCAGACGAGCCACGTGGGACCTTCTGCAGGGCGAGAAGCGGGGCCGCACTATCCTGCTTACCACTCATTTCATGGATGAGGCCGACCTGCTGGGTGACCGCATTGCTATCATGGCTGGAGGGGAGCTTCAGTGCTGTGGCTCGTCACTCTTCCTCAAAAACAAATATGGTAGGAAAAACTGTCTGTGTGGAAAAAACATTTTGAGAATAAATTTGCATTTAATGGATAAAATTTTAGTCACTGATTTGTTTACCTGTGTGCATCAGGTGCTGGCTACCACATGGTGATAGTAAAAGATGCATTGTGTAATGTATCAGAGATCACCCGTCTGGTCCAAATGTATGTCCCCAACGCCACACTGGAGAGCAGTGCCGGAGCTGAACTCTCCTATATCCTGCCTAAAGAGAGCACCAGTCGGTAAGACAACACCCCAGGTGTGAGAAAAGCAAACAGTTTCAGCTATTGCAGTGTATGTATCGATTTTAGTTATAAAACTTGTTTCGCTTTTGAAGAGACAATATGAGCAAGCAGGGCTTTTAAATATCTCAAACCTAGGGTTGGGTACCGAGAACTGGTGTAATTTTATTACTGGGTCCTTGGTTGGTTAAAACTGGTATACAGGAAAGCTTCTAAGAACACTGCTGCTGCTAGAATTTGACAATCAGATCCCTTTTACAGTGATGTTGTAAACTATTACAGTTAATGTTTTAATGTATAAAATCTTTTAATCATATGCACACACACACAACTTTGTGTTATACTGCTGGAATCTATTATACCTTGTATGCAAGAAGCAATGTCATGTATCATTGGAATTAAAACAGCCTCACAAACGAACTTCGTCTCGGTTCCACCACCGTACTTTACAGTGGGGGGCTGCTTTTTTCTGCGCTACCTTCTACACTACCTTTTTACACCAAATCCAGCTCTGATGTTTGATACACAAAATGCTCTACTTTTGTCTTATCAGATTCCAGGCGCTTATTTGTGCTCTGTCAAGCCTCTTAGGTAGTCTGTTGGCATAGAGGTGATGAATAATTTTTTCATAATTTTGGAAACTTGATGAACCCAGTATACAGCCAGCACCTGTGGTTATAGGACCTGGATAGGGCATGTGCCCCCCTCAGCTTAAATGAGCATGATCACTATGTATTGTATTGTTTTTATTGTGTTGTCACATAATATCATGTTAGCTGTGTAGTATGTTAACTTAACTTGGCTCACATATTAGCTTGTGGCTAAAGCATTAGGTAGAGTCACTGTGACTCTTTTTTTTTCTTCAAAAATCATAATGTTAAATGCTCTAATAAACTGATTTTGTTTCAAAAATTGTATTTTATAATGTTAAATGCTCTAATAAACTGAAATAGAAACCATAACATATTAATATAATACACAACCTAAGACACTAATTTTTGCTGTATTGAAAAATATCAAATCAAGACACCATGGTGTCATATTGTATTGAATACTGAAAAATATTTAATTGAATATTAAATAATTCATCACGCTGCAAATCAGAGTCTGTACTTGTTGCACATCCAGTCAGACACATAATTTAATCATAATCCTAATTTATCATTAATCATATTGTCATCACAATATCCACCAACTTTACCAGACATTGCATTTTGTGCTCATATCATACAGCCCTGTATCTTAGTAAAACAGGAAGTCATAGATGAGCTCTTAAAGATTATGTGCTGAGCAGAGGTAAAATATGATTAGGAATGTCAATTAGGTTTTCTTTGTAAGCATCTCTAGGGTTCTTATATATTTAATATGATTTTTTCTGTAAATAAATTAACATCATTGAAAGATGAGATTTCCCTTGTTTTCGGCATTTGCTTGATAGCCTTTTTTCTTCTTTACCAATGATACCAATAATTCTGTAAGGCATAGTAATGAAACCTCTTCAATTACAGCATAGGAATAATTAAAAGAAATGTGGAATTTTGATTACCTTTCAACAGCCTCTGCTCCCCCTTTATCAGCTTTGTGGCTGATAACAAATGGAACAATCGCAAATCATCCTAACTAATGGAGTGAGTCTGGATAATGTTTAAAGACTGCCATCTCTTTTTCTTTCTATCTCAGTGATTTACACACAAATTTTATAACACATTTGTCAAAGCATATCTAAACATATGTTGTTGTATTCTTTAAAGCTACGTTTCCTAGCATTGACAAATGTTTGGCCTTGTTATTGTCCAAAGTAACACTTGAAGTGTAACTAGTCACAGCCCATTCACCTTTGCTAAAATACGGAAAGTGACACACAGTAGAATAGCTGAATGCTACAGGTCTTTAAACAAGGACAGACACTGAGACAGTCCACTTGTTAACTTTGTCAGGCTCATTTTTGCTTTTTTCAGTCTTTGTTATGTTAGTAATCAGTAACTGAAATGCAAAATTAGATTGCAGTGGAGATGATGGTCGATGGCTGCTTCTGATAAGTACTTTATGTGTTAGTTGTACAGTAAAGCTGACAATTTCTGTAAATGCTGTTGTAGATATATTGCACAACTTCTAGCAGGCTGACTGTTTTAGTAGTACTTAAGTGTTTAACATAAAAATACATTTGCTGTTGGATTGTTTTTTGTTTTCTGTACATATACAATCATCTAATTGCAAGAATCTAAGTGTGTAAAACTCTTTCTTGGGGTTTGAAAATCTTCCTTCTTCTGAGGCCTCAAATTAGCATGTATATCAATACTACTGCTTCTAACAAATAGCTTTAATAACAGTAAGTCAGCTAAAGCCATGAAGACAAACATCTTTAATCTGTCAGGAGTCCAGACGAACGTCAAGAAAGGATGAACCACACTGTCTCAAAGTGCTACCCCTCTTGGTTAACTTTGATTTTCGAAAGCTGTCTTAGGGCTAGAGGGTGTAAATGTCCCCATTGATTTGTCTATTACAAAGGACCTTGAAGCAATGCTCGTCCCCTCCTCAGACACACACCAATCCTCACTGTCTCTGTTTCTCTCCCACACCAACATCAATACACCCCTTTTCCAAAATCACTCCTTCCCTCACAACAGCCAGTATTTAAATTGAGCTATAGCTGCAATTTTGAAGGTATGCTTAGGTGAAATAGGACTGTGCAAAAGTCAGAGTCCACCCTTTATTCATTTAATTAAGTAGAAAACATTTAACAGAAAATTACACAGAAGTCTCAACAACTAAATATAATTTCAGATTGTTCAGTATTTAGTGTGTCCACCCTTTGCATTTATTACAGCTTTCATTATTTTTGAGAGGCTTGCTTTTAGTTTTCCAAAGGAATCTGCAGGGATAATTTTTTAGTCTTTAATTTCAGTTTTTTCCTTTAACTTTCCCTAATGAAAGTAGATAATCTTATATCTTTCCTCAGAAATAACTCCTGAAAAATGAATAACTTGCTTAATGGCCTATTTGACTGTATGTTAGACAAATGTTGAAGAGATATGTCATCTAGGCACTTCAACTGTCTAGACATCATGACTTGTCACATGATTTGTAGTTTTTTCTTAGTTGTTTTTTTAGTCCTTTAATAGTACATTTTATAAAATGCTATAAAATGTTGCTTCCAGAATTAAGTTTTGTATTTTGCTTACAGGTGGATTTAGCAGCATCATGTAATGTTCTGTTGAACTTGTGCAGGTTTGAGCTCCTTTTCGCTGAACTGGAGATGAACAGAGAGGAGTTAGGCATCGCAAGTTATGGAGCTTCTGTTACCACCATGGAGGAAGTTTTTCTCAGGTACTTGGATAAGCACAAATAAGTAATATTCTCCATAAAAAGGGAAAGATTCAAATGCTGAGTTAAATGTTGTTTCTTGCTGTGCCAATGAAGATTTACTGGCAAAAGCTGGTAAAAGTAAGTCCTAAGTGTTTAAGATGTTTGGCTGAGTTCCTTTAGCAGACATGGCACTAATAGTCTCTGTAGTTGAATGGCACAGCACTACAGTAAATGTGCTGTCTGCACTCAGTCAATATCAGCAGGGTTTGGCTGGGTATGTAAAAATCTGAGGCTCAGCCCAGTGCACTGTAGAAATGTTTTGGGATCTCCTCCCCAAAATTTTTAAAACCTTTTTTTATATGTTGTGAGCATCTAGACATTAACAAATCTTGCAGGAATTCAGCATTAATCATTGATGTTTCTTGTAAAGAATTAAGACAAAACACAGGTGAAAACACTGCTGGTAATGGAAAACAGAGATGTTTCCTCATTAATGCCATTATTAAGGACCACTTCACATTTCCTCTCTCTCCACATCAACCATCTCTTCTACACGTCTCCTATCTACACTGTAAAAAAAAATGAGGTCAGTGAATGAAATCGTGAGATCGTGAATGAAATCATGGATTTTGTGATGGATGTACACACAAGCTAGGTGGAATGTGTGGCGTTAATTGTTATGATCAGGGCTAATTAAAAACATTTTCAGAGTTATAGCCCCAGATGCACAGGCCAGGCAACGCTCCATTTTTTCAGAATCTCACAAAGCATAAAGTACATTCTGTTAAAAGACAAGGGCTTTATATATCGCCTGTTTGTTGATTCCAGTCCATATGCTACGTCAATCTGTATCGAACAGGGCCAAAAAAGACCAAGAATGAGCTTCCTGTATTTAGACTGCCTCACATCGAGAATAAGGGCTATGACTTTTATATGACATTAGTAGGGAAAAGGGGAGAATTATTGTTTGAACCCTTACATACAGCTTCTGTGTGTATATGTGTATTTGCTTGTTCAGGGTGGGGAAGCTGGTGGACTCCAGTCTGGATATTCAGGCTATCCAACTTCCAGCCCTTCAGTACCAGCATGAGCGTAGGTCACATGACTGGACAGTCGATGATACTAGCAGCACTAGCGGCCTGACTGATGTGACGGACTTCACCGACAGTGGCACGCTAATCTCAGAGGACTGCTCCAATATCAAACTCAACACAGGGGTTAGTCTATGTAGCAGATAGATTATGTATTCAGGAGCATGGAAAATTAGGATACTGGCAATACAGGAAACTGAACACAAATGGTGTTTGTAGCTCTAGTATGTAATCATTACAGTGCAAAGATCATCCTGATGGTGCAGTGGTGCAATAAATATCTCTTAAACAAAGTTTATAATTATTTCAATAGTACAATGAATGCTCTCTCTCTTTCTCTCTCTCTCTCTCTCTCTCTCTCTCTCTCCTTCTCTCTCTCTCTCTCTCTCTCTCTCTCTCTCTCTCTCTCTCTCTCTCTCTCTTTCTCATTCTCTTGTCTGTGTCTCTCTCTCTCTCTCTCTCTCTCTCTCTCTCTATTTAATCTCATTTTTTCACTATGCTCTACCTCTCTAGGCTAAGCTATATATGCAGCAGTTCTATGCCATGTTCCTGAAGAGAGCATTGTACAGCTGGCGGAACTGGAAGGTGATGGTTGCACAGTTTTTAGTGCCACTCATCTTCACTGTGGTGGCCCTTGTGGTGGCTCGTACCTTGCCTGGACATCACAACACACCCCAGCTCCGCTTGGCTCTCAGCCGCTATGGACCCACCACAGTGCCTGTGGCCCTGGATGCCAGAGCGGGACCGCTAGCTGCGGCCCTTGCTGAGTCCTACACCGCGCAGCTCCCTGCGCAAAGTGCCACACCCACAACAAATCTAACAGGTAAGAGGAAAATCTAACTGATCAGAGGATATGGTATTACCTGCAGCTGTACCTATGATTTGAAGTATTACAAACACTATTGAAGCAGAAGCTGATCTTCAAGATCAGTCAAATTACAGCTACTCAACTGTAATGGTCTCTCTCTCTCTCTCTCTCTCTCTCTCTCTCTCTCTCTCTCTCTCTCGAATAACGTTTTAATCTATAGCTGCTTTCATAATAGCTCCGGAGTTTTAGGAATGAGTGAACTTCACCCTGACATCAACAAATGTTCTTGTATTTGCCAGATTTCTCAGAATATGTGCTGTACAATGCCATGAGGGAGGGAGGAGCCTTCAATGAGCACTGCGTAGTTGGCGCAGCTTTCAGAGGTCGAACCAGTAGGTTTGCAGAAATAACAGGCTACTTCAACAACCAGGGCTATCACACCCCAGCCACAGCCCTCATGCTGGTGGACAATGCACTCTACAGGCTGTTGGCTGGACCCAACGCATCCATCCAGACAGGAAACAAACCCCTGCCCCGCAACATGTCCGAGGCAGCCCAAAGCCAGCTGTCAGAGTGAGTCTCTGCTGCAGAAAAGGAGATGAGTGGGGAACAGTGCTAGAATTTAAGATTTCTAGTTTTAAATAAAAGCAAGTAATCACCATTTAGGTTCATGCAGACGAGAGGTGAAGTCTTAGGTTTCATTCAATTTAACATTTGATTTTGCCTGTAATATTGCACTTTGTAACTGTGTAGAAGATTCCTTTAAAAAAAAAAACTGTGCTAGAACTGGGTTAGTTTTTATTTGAAATAGTTGATATTAATCTTGTGAACAAAGTGCATGTGGTACAGCCTTTAGTAACCCAGGTTCAGAAGTGGGTGAGTTAGTAATCCTTTCTTCATTCAATGCAAACCAGTTCTTCCACTTCCACCCAGCTGACCCTGCTAATTTGTTTTCCTTTTGTGTTATTTTGCTCCTTTATTCCTATGCTCTTTCCAGGGGCCAGACTGGTTTTGCCATAGCCATAAACTTGATGTATGGTATGGCATCTCTGGCCAGTACCTTTGCTCTGCTCCTGGTGAGTGAGCGTTCTGTGAAGTCCAAGCATGTGCAGCAAGTTAGCGGCGTCTACCTCTCCAACTTCTGGTTTTCTGCCCTGCTCTGGGATCTGGTCAACTTCCTGCTGCCTTGTTTGCTCATGCTGGTCAGTGCAACCTGATCTTCTGATATATATATATTTTCACACACACATGCTGAAGCACTGTTGCTGTGATATTAGGATGAAAAGTTCCACATCTGGATTTAGGGGGATGCTGGAGTTTGTAGTACTCCAGTAGACATTCACATGAATAATGTTTAAAAAAAAAAAATAGATTTGTGACAATACTACAGACTATAGCTTTTATCTAATACTGAATAAAGCTTTGACCATTTCTTGCACTCACAATCTTGTTTATCGTGTCTCTGTCTTTGCCTCACTCAGGTTGTGTTCCGGGTGTTTGCTGTGAAGGCCTTTGTAGAAGAGAATCACTTGGTGGATGTGTTGCTTTTGCTGCTGCTGTATGGTTGGGCCGTGATCCCCCTCATGTACCTACTCAGCTTTCTGTTTTCAAGTGCTGCCACCGCCTACACTCGCCTCACCATCTTCAATATCATCAGTGGCACAGCCTCCTTTCTCGCCGTCACCATCATGACCATCCCTGGTAAGAGGCCAGATGCCAATTTGCACACCCAGAGAGGACCCTGGGAACTGATTAAAGAATAGTTTCACTCAAACTGATATTGTTGCCAATACGCCATACATGACAGATACCCCACTGGCTTTCATGTGTTGCTATTTACACTAGCATTGTATGTGAGAGATCCTTAGTTCAGATTTTTGTTATGGCATATGCCGATTTGCATAACACATTGATCTGTTTTCTTATCTACTCTCTCTTGCTGTTTTTAGAGCTGCAACTGCAGGAGATCTCACACCTGCTGGATAAAGTTTTTCTGCTCTTCCCCAACTACTGCCTTGGCATGTCCTTCAGTCAGTTTTACCAGAACTATGAGACCATAACCTTCTGCACCCCCAGCCCCCTCACTAAAGAAATCTGCCACTTTTTCAGTGAGTATTACTCTGTACAACTCCAGAGCACTGGTTCTCAACTCTGATCTTGGAGTGCCCTCGTTTTGCATGTTTTGGTAAATTTCCACAACCACCTGATCCTACTAGTCCTTCTTGAGTTCAAGTGGGTGTAACGGGATGATGGAACACACCGCTGGAGAAGAAACCTTCAATGTTGCTTTTCTAGACAGAGATTAAAACAATGCCTCACTAAATAATACTTATTTTGCTAATACTGTATGTAATTTGTAGTATTATGCAAATGTGATCATGCTAAATGGGAACCACAGAACTTCATTCATTGTTAGCTGTATTAGCATTTTTGTATGTAAAAGTCAGACTTGAACATAATACTGTTGTAAATGTAGATTCTTAATGGAAACCATTTTTAATCGAGAGCTAAGCACAGTGGAACGAGGGATGACATTATTGAATATTTATAGCCTTTGCATTAGCACTAAGCAGACAATGTATTGTGGCTTCCTATAGACATCACTTACCAGCTGAACTACTTCTCCATGGATGAGCCTGGTGTGGGGCGCTTTCTAGTGGCCATGTCCCTGCAGGGTGTGGTCTTCCTTGCCCTCCTCTTTGCCATTGAGCTGCAGTGGGTCCGGACGCTACTTCATCTCTGCAGGAGACGCAGGAAGGTAAGAGTGCAGAGAGAACAAAGGAGCAGGGATATAGTCAACCATGTATAATGTGTTATAAATGTCTGACATATTATGATATGAGCATGTCTTAAAGGGGAATTACTATTTTATTTAACATTACATCTAAAACTCAGAAGACATGTGTAGGTTCGCTGGTGATTTTGGATAGTAAATAGTGCATATATGTGTGTGTGTGTGTATATATATATATATATATATATATATATATATATATATATATACTTATCACCACCACCGTATGTGTGTGTGTGTATTATATATATATATATATATATATATATATATATATATATATATATATATATATATATACCTATCACCACCACTGTAAGTTTCTCTGCAATGAACCATTTCAAATCAAAACACTCTGATTTAATCTATGGAATTCCCCTTTAAGCAGAATTTGTAAGTGAATATATAGAATAAAAGGAAAGCTGAAGTTCTTTGTATGCATGTGTCAGGACCTGCTGGCTGGGGAGGAAGCTCTTCAGCCTGAAGACCGGGACGTGGCTGAAGAGAGAAAGCGAGTTTTAGAGTGCCAGCCTGTAGTAGAGTCCATGGTGGGGAGCCCCCTCATTCTTCAAGAGCTTACCAAGGTAGTGCAATGTTCTTTTGTGTTTGTGTTGACTGTTTGCAGAAATCCATATAGTAGGTAGATATCTTCACTCTGTAACTATACTCACTGATGCAGACTTTATACTATATATTTTGAGTTAGACCAAACCTTTATTTTAGTACGTTTCTAGATAAAATCCTGTCACAACTTCAGTGGTTGCTGACTGACATTACTTCGAAGAGTGATTGGTGCCATAGACCCGCCATCAGGTCTGATATGATTGGCTTACAGTTTAAGAGGTCTTATATGGTGTTACACTTTTCCCCAAGTCTAAACAGCAGAGGATTTCCGTCTCCTTTTGTTGTTAGAAAATCTCTGAAAGCACTGCTAAGGCAGCTGTGGATCAGAGCAGCAGCAGTGCCTCCCCCAGGTTGTGAATTGCTATAACAGTATATTGGAAATTTGGAGACATAATGGCATAGGTGAATAATGCAGAATTAATGCAAAATACTGTTGATAATTTGAACTAATTATGTACATTAATTTGGGAGGGATGAATAATATTTAGGTGGGGCAAAGGCCCCCCTAAAACTGGCCTAGCGATGCCCCTGGTTTGCATATTTCAGTCCACAAATGAGGAATAGCTAAAAATGCTAATACAGAATGACAGGGAAATGAGAATAGTTAGAAAGAATTTGGTTGCATGATGCTCACTGCCCCCTACTATCTAATATTCGTATCATCTTTCTGTTTGTGGGTGAAATTATCCTTTAACACCCTACAAATGTGAATTTGAATTATCTGCTTTTCTCTGCATCTTTCCAGTTATTAAATCTGTATGTTTGCATTTTAAAGAAAGGTATATTACATAATGAATAGGTTTACCCAGGGAGTCAGTCTCTGCGGGCAGTGGATCGCTTGTCTCTGGCTGTGGGGAAGGGTGAATGTTTTGGCCTGCTTGGATTTAATGGAGCTGGGAAGACAACCACTTTTAAAATGCTGACTGGCGATGAGACTGTGACTGCAGGGGATGCCTTCATTGATGGCTACAGCATCCTCCGGGACGTAAAGAAGGTCAGATTTTGCAGAAATAGTGTGCTAATTATGGCATCATTCTTGTTTTAAGCTTTTTGTAAAAAAATTAAAAAAAACTATAACAGTGACAAGCTGTGCACAGTTTGCATCACCACTGTACTCACTGTAAAATACACTTTCTGAATCATTTGGCAACTTAAGAAAAAGACAGTTTATTAATTACTCTTTCTTCTTTGTGTATAAATTTTTTTAGGAATGTCCTCCGTTTTCCTCCAACAGTGTTCTTTTCCTCCAGCAGTGTTCTTTATTTTCTCAAACTTTCGGCTGTGCGGTTTTGTGCGTACAGCATCGGTACCGTTACAAATCTGAACTCAGAACTGCCCTTATATTTGCCAGGTCCCTGTATTTGTTTCCTGATGCATTACAGAACCATGAAAGTAGCCAGAGTTCTCTTAGCTTGTGTGTTCACATGATTTTTCATGTGAATTTATTATTAACAGTACACACAAATAATAATAGCAACAATAGAGTAGTGCTTCAGGTCCTGAATTACCTTTTACTTTGCATTGGGTTTTATGGAGAGTCACAGACAGTGAATCTGGATAGCTAAAAGCTAGCGTTTTTTGTTATTTTTTTTTTTTTTTATGGTGGTCGTCTGACTCCAGTGACACCTTTTAGGAATTGTGTGCCTATTCCGTTTTAACTATTCAGTGGTCGGAAACATTACTAGCTCCACCTACAATTTACAGCTTGGTACCACAGCAAGGTAATTCAGTTTGACGCAGGTACTCTGGCACTTGGCGTTGAAAGTGACAACAAAATGCATGATTTAATTATTTGTGACTGTACTGTTTAATTTAATATCAAACCACTCTGAATGATTTTATTTACTTAACCGTTTAATAGTGTATCTTGTAACACTGGTATTAAGTCTCTTTCATTATTATCCCTTTAGCCCTTAACTTTATGCAGGACATACACTGCAGAACACTGATGAATTATTATGTTAGCATCGTAACCCTGTCGCTCATGTTTGTCCTGCAGGTGCAGCAGCGGATTGGGTACTGCCCACAGTTTGATGCGGTTTTGGATCACATGACTGGGCGAGAGACTCTGAGCATGTATGCCAGACTCCGGGGAATCCCGGAGAAGTATGTGTCAGCCTGCGTGGAGAATGTACTACGCTCACTGCTTTTGGAACCCCATGCAGACAAATTGGTCCGCAGTTACAGGTACGGCTACAAAGAACTTTGGAGAGAAACGGGATGACGGCAAAAAGGATGACAGTAGACATGAGGAATGAACAATGCATGATCTCATTGTATCGGCTGTACAAGTGTACAAGTGTGATGTAGAATAGCTGAGAATGAGTGTAAATTTAAAAGACAAAGATTATGTGAGAATATTTAGGACATGAAACATGGATTAGCAACCACAGACTACAAACCATTGGCGAACCATGACCATTAGAGCTAGGCCTTTAGTTCAGGGCATAAATGTCAGAATGAGGAAAAAATGTTAAATGATAATACTTATGCTATGACATTCTAGGTAGTGCTAAGAACAGTGATTCACATGTACATTTTTTCACCATTCTAGATTAAACGCAGACATTTGAAGCTTGTAAAATATATTGCCTGTTTTATTTGAAACATTAACATATGTTTGCCTTGTAGCAATTGTACAGTGACTTCATCAGTAAAGAGCCCTGGCATAGAGCCGCTGCCTCTTTTCTGTTTCTGACTGAAATGCATTGGTCAGGCTTCTACATATACTTGCTGTCAGTGACATATCTTGGACTTCTGGAAGGCCTAGAGTGATTTTTTTTTTTTTTTTTCCTCGCAAAATTGGTCCAACCCATTGGTAATTAAAAGGTGATTGAGTGTTTCCACCGTGAGTTCCAAGTTATGTTAGTGGTTAATCCAACACTTTAGTCCTCACCGATGGGAGAGCTTGCATGGTTGTATCTACTTACATACCATAGAGAAAAAAATCGTGATAAGTTTTTTTTGTGTATTACAAGAATTTAACCCTTTTGTTTCCAAACAGAACCTGACAGTGAAATAAGAGTATTACTGTAATACATGCAGTTATAATATATATTATATTATAAAATGAACTATAAATTACTGGCATTTATTTTCATTTTTTATTTCACAAAAATATTAGGCCCTAATATTTTTTCTCTATTTGAATGTCTACTGTCCCACAGTGGGGGTAACAAAAGGAAGCTGAGTGCTGGCATGGCGCTGATTGGTGGGCCGCCTGTCATCTTCCTGGATGAGCCATCCACTGGTATGGATCCTGTTGCCAGGCGCCTGTTGTGGGATGCCGTCACGCGCACCAGGGAGTCTGGCAAAGCTATCATTATCACATCACACAGGTTTGTCACTCTCTTAGAGATAAAAGTACTTAGTACTTTTTTTGTCCTCAGAAAGTCCAAAGATACATACAAGCTAGTGGAGAATAGAGTTTGCTTGGTCTGTTTTGCATATTTGCAAACTCAGCTGTTAAACTTAGCTTTTATTCACTATTACCAATGTTTGCATGTTTTCTTGAAGTATTCCTGTAAAGGGATATATTAAGTTGTATTTCAGTACAATAAAATAAAAATGTTTAGTGTAGCCTGCTGGCTTCTGACTCTTTGTCTGTTTGCCTGTCTGTAGTATGGAGGAGTGTGAGGCCTTATGCACTAGACTTGCTGTGATGGTAAACGGGCAGTTCAAGTGTCTGGGAAGCCCACAGCACCTGAAGAGCAAATTTGGCAGTGGCTATACTCTGTTGGCCAAAGTCCATACAGAACCAGATTTAGAGGAGATGGACCTACAGCTTTTTAAAGACTTCATTGAGAGCACCTTCCCTGGTTTGTATCTGGAGGCATACATCTGTCTACATAGTGCCTATGTGGTTACACTGATCTGGGCGTAATATATCTTGCGCCCATTAATTACAGTGTCTAAATTGTCTTTTCATCTTTGTAGGAAGTTTACTGAAAGATGAACACCAGGGGATGGTTCACTACCACTTGACTGACAAAACACTGACCTGGGCTCAGGTATGTTCCCCTGTCACTCTAGCATCACACTACGCATGTCGACACCTGGAAGGATGTTGATAGTAATTGCTATTTTTTTGAAAAGAGACAGCAGTTGTCATACCTAAGAGAGAAAAGACTAGCTCAGTTCTTTCTCATTTAGTATGTCTCCTCCTGCTGGTTGCAGATGGCACTACATTTGCAGTTGTATGCAAATATTTGGGCAGCCCTTTTAAAGTTACATGCTTTTTTATTTTCCAAGTGAAAATAAGTGCAAATTCTCTACACACACTTTCTCTAGGACACTTTGGCACATTTTAATGCTTAATTACTGTTTATTTATGGAATTTAACATATTTGAAAAAAAAATGAAATCATGGCAGATGTAAAAGCTATTCATGATTTATTTTATTTTTTTCTGTTATGTTAAACTCAATTAATGTGCACTAAAATTGACAAAAAAATGCCTGTAGAGCATGTGTTCACTGAATTTCACTTTTAATAAAAAAAAACAAAAAAACAAAAAAAACACCATTTGACTGGTGGTGTTCAAACTTTTGCATTTGTACATCTGTCAGTCATGGTCATAACATATGTCTTTGCCTTGCAAGGTGTTTGGAACCCTAGAGGCAGCTAAAGAGAAGTACAGCATCGAGGACTATTGTGTGAGTCAGATCTCGCTGGAGCAGGTGTTCCTCAGCTTTGCCCAGTTCCAGCACTGCTCAGAAGGCGGGAAAAAATAAGAGAGGTTAGGGAGGAGATGCAAACTCTCCTAGACTTCCTCGTCTACACCTTTCTGAGGTACATCCTGGGCTGAGAGATTTACCTTCACATGCTCAGATCTCAGTCATCTCCTCTCCCCTATACGCAAACACGCAGGTATCAACCACTGCAGTGGAGGTCTGGGCTAAGCATGTGTAGTGTTTGTGTAAATTCTCTGTGTGTCTCGGTCATTGCGAGGAGTGTGTTGGGGTAGAAAGGTACGTTGCACCAAGTACAACAGTAAGTCCTTGATGTGCAACACTTTTTGTGTCTTTTGAGTTTGAGGTTTAAAGACGTGTGTGGTTGTGTTCATAAGGTCCAATGCTTTCTGCATAATGGTCGACTACAATGAACTGAGTTGCTTGTGAGTGTGCACTTGTATGAAGCAGCCTGATTTTTTATTTTTATTTTTTTTGGTTGTCTTCTCCTTGTCTCTTGCTGTGGACTTAAATTTGAATGTGTATGTGTGCTGAGCCTCTGCTGAAAAAAGGGTCATTATATGAACTAAAAAAAAAAAGTTTCCCTTAGCTTTATCATGTCATAATTCATTCATTGCTTATCCTCCTGGGTCACAGGGAGGTGCTGTAGCCTATCTCAGCACTTATTGGGCGGAAGGCAGGCAACACCCTGAACAGGTCACCAGTCCATCACAGGGGAATCACACACTCACACCTAGGGGCAATTTAGTATCTCCAGTTGGCCTGATTTCATATTTTTGGACCATGGGAGGAAACTTACACTGACATGGAGAACATGGAGACTCCACACAGTTCCCCCAACCGGGAAATCAAACCCACGCTCTTCTTGCTGTGAGGCGACAGTGCTACTCACTGCGGCACCATGTAGCACATTTGTAGCAATGCAGTGATCTGCAATTATGAAAAAGGGAATTAGTGGTATTATTTTATTAAGACACTCTTTAAATTATACGTGTATGAATGTTTTTTTCCCCAGCACAACACATTGCACAGACAATATCTTTAGCCACTCCAAAGAAGCTTTTAATTTGAAAAATAAAGTCAGTTTTCTGTTTTAAGAGTAAATACTTTTGCTCCACTATCCTTGATGTAAATTCTGGTAAGGTAGTGAATGTTACTTTTTACCTTTTTTAGTTGAACTGACACTGTCCTGTGGAGAGTTTCCTCAAAGTATTATAGCACAAAGATTACATGCAATGCAGCTGACCTCGCTTTGAACACTCTAATAATTAGGACCGTCTTAACACTATGATGCCTTTTGGAAACTGTAGACTCTTCCAGTTGTTCACATTTGCAAATGTATGTTTTTGAATGCATGTACCCAACTTAGAGTCTGAATGTCCTTTTCACATGTACTACCAGTCAAAAAAGTTTAGACACACCTGATTGAATGTATGTTTTCCATAATCCTGAATACATTTTGATCTACAGGCATAAGCTTAAATGCTTGGAAAGTTGTTACCTAAATAAATATAAATAGTGCAGGTCATTCCAGGTCACTCCACATGAAGCTGTTTCAGAGAATGTTAAGAGTGTGTAAAACTGTAAAATCAAAAAATAATTTTCATTAATGACTGTATAATTCCATATGTCCATATGTTATTTCACAGTTTTTCTTCAGTCTTTCGTAGTATTTCATCGTTAATCTTCACTTTTATTCTAAAATGTTTTTATTCTAAATAGTAGTAGAGAAAATTCTGCACTGATTAGGAGTGCCTAAACTTTTCACTGGTAGTTTAAGTGTATGCTGGTGCACTACTGATTTGGACCAAACTACTTGGCCCATCACAACCTATAAGGGCCTGTTACACCCTTGTTTACAATTTTACGCAGTCAAGCTTGGAAAATGACATCAGGCTCTTGGAAAAAGAGAGTCCTGTGAAAGTTCTGTGATTGTAGATTTTAAAGCTTTTGGGCAAAGCTACTACTGTAAAGTTATCATTGTGGTCTTTCCTAATATGCTGACTCAAATAATAATAAACCAACTCTGAGGCATTGGTTAGTGAGTCTTAGGACAAATTGGTGTTGACTAGTCCAAAAACTCATCTGATACAATCTCTGTTTTGTGCCATTTGTCACTGTTTCATTTTAAACCAGACACAATACTATAGGGAAGATTTTGACTGAGTTTATAATGACCCTTAATATTTTGCTTCATACATTGGTTGATTGAAGTGTTGGGCATCCTCTGATCGCTAATTTAGGGCTAAGGATTATGGGTTAGATTATGTGAGGGTTTTTTTTTGTTTATTGTTAATTTATTGTTTTGTTCTTCATTTGTGTGTTGGCGCTAGCTTTCACATTTGAGCTGCTTATAAAAACTGAAATGTTGCATTTTTGGGTAAGAGCAAAGGAACTTGACAGTTTTATGATCATGACAATGTTGAAACTTCTTGGTGAAATTGTAAAATGTGGAGAAGTGGGGGGAATTGTAATTTTATGTACTGTACCACTTAACCTTGTGCATATTGTCATTTCCTTTCTTTCTGTTTTTTTAATTAAATACGGTCTGTGTAAATGAGTGGAGTGAAGTAGTCTTATTTTAGGAGGGAGGGCATTCTCGTCCCATACTGTTTATGCATCCCATAACTAGGATTTGGCAGCCATACATGTATAACAAATAACAAAAAGGAGGGGGGATTATTGTGGGGAAATTTCATGTTGAATTTTTGTATGAATGTCAAATTCTGTGTTCCTTCAGCTTGCAAAAATGTGTAGATCCATGTTCAAAGTGTATTTCGGACCCAAAAAGGTTGTTGTCTTAGCAGGAAACAAAACAGTCAAACAAGCACTTGTAAAGTATGCAGAAAAGTTTGGGGAAAGAGACATCACACAAATATCCAAGGAAACCCAAGAGCTTGGTGAAGGTATCAAGAAATGACAGCTGTCTGTCCTCCTCCATCTATCCTGTTACTATGATGGATATATTGCTTCCATCTATCCTATTGCTATTAAGTTGACATCATACAATTAGCTTTCCCATGCCTACCTGTTGATCATTCCCGTCTATAGGAACACTGTTTTCTAATGGGGAACACTGGAAAGAAATGAGACATTTTGCCCTCACCAACCTTTAAGACTTTGGAATGGGCAGGAGAGGGAGTGAGGAGAAAATTATTGAGGAAATCCACTACCTTAAAGAAGTTAATGTTAGCTTTGGGGGTGGGTGCACTATTATGTCTACATGATCTTCCCTTTGGAACAAGCCCAGTCATCACCTTGTCTTCTTGAGCACACATGGTTTTTCTCTCTAGGGAAGCCACATGGCAACACAACCAGTAAAAAATGCTTTTTCCATCATTAACTCATCTATTGTGTATGGAAGCAGATTTAAGTACAGTGATTCACAATTCAAAGATATGGTGAGAAGGGCTAATGAGAATATCAGGCTTTTATGCAGGAAAGTAATTAAGCTAGTAATTGACTTTTGTTTTCATGTACTACCATTCAAAAGTTAGGAGTCACTGTTTTTTAATTAAAATAAAATTTGATACATGCACTAAATGATTCTGTCATGCTTCTAGTCTACAAATTTATAGATTCTTCTAATTAGTAGGAAGTTGTAAAAAATAAAGAAGAAACTTTAGATGAAAATGATGAACACAGCTGTAGAGCATTCCATAAGAACAGAGAAAGCTGGTTAACATTAACAATGTTTTTTTTTTTTGTTTGTTTTTTTTTTTAAACTGTGTGTATATAACATATTCTTATTCATAGATGGCCGATGCTACTTGAGGGACAGGAAAACACAAAAGAGGGATATAATAACAATGAAAATTTGTACTAAATGAAGTTACAATAAACGTAACATCCAGAGTGTCTTGTATTTAAACATTGGTTATGAAATCTTGGGGCAGAATTAGTGTAAATAGATAATTACAGGATTTTATTTATCATTGAATAATTACTGATATTCCCCAAAAAAATTTAAATATTGAACAAAACATCTCAAAAATACCTTCTGGTGTCTAGTTTATAGTATTTGAATCAACCCTGTATACACTGTTAAATCAAATAACTGCAATTATTAATAAGACAAGTGATTTAAAACTTTTGAACAGCACTGTATTTAATCTTTAATCTAATACATAACACATAAGTATGTTTTCTTTGCTGCTTTAATCTCTTTCTCCAACCTGAAAACCATGCTTAATTGTAGCTGTATTTCACCTGTGCTGTATTTGGAATGCAAGTGTCCCCACCGAAACTAATGTATGACATCATGTTATCAGTGTTTTCGTCTAGTCTGTTTAGACAGAAGTTTGATTAAAGTGAAAAAAATCAATGTGACAGATGATTGTTGTTAGTCTAATACCACTGCTGTAACACATTGTGCATCCTGGAAGCAAGACAGAATTGCTGTTGAGGGGGTCCTCAAGAGTGTAATTATTAGTGCTGTCATTACATGAAAAAATAATGCAGGTTCTGTATTCACTAAAAAGAGGTTTGTCAGCTAACATGGGTGCCTACTTGATCATGTAGTCAGGCTGTTATGTTCTCTGCCTCCAGCTGATATGCTACATCAGGATCCCCACCAAATGTTTGATATCTGTATAGTTTATTTTCTTACTTCTTTTTACAATATGTAATTATGGTTATTATGAATCAAATGTACTCTTCTAAGTACACTATATGGACAAAAGTATTGGGGCACCTACACATCACATCCACATGAGCTTTTATGACATCCCATTCTAAATCCATAGGCATTAAGATGGAGTTGGTCCCCCTTTGCAGCTATAACAGCTTCCACTCTTCTGGGAAGCTTTCTACAAGATTGTGGAGTGTGTCTCTGGGAATTTTTGCCCATTGATCCCGAAGAGCATTTGTAAGGTCAGACAATGATGTTGGACAAGCGGGGCTGGCTCGCAATCTCTGTTCTAGTTCATCCCAAAGGTGTTTGATGGGGTTGAGGTCAAGGTTCTGTGTGGGCCAGTCAAGTTCTTCCACACCAAACTTACCAAACCATGCCTTTATGGACCTTGATTTTTGCGCAGTCATGCTCAAACAGAAAGGAGCCTTCCCCAACTGTTCCCACAAAGTTAGAAGCATATAATTGTCCAAAATGTCATGGTATGCTAAGGCATTAGGATCTCCCTTCACTGGAACTAACAGGCCTAGGCCAACCCCTGAAAAACAACCATTATCCCTCATCCACCAAACTTTTCACTTGACACAATGCAGTTAGGCAGGTAACGCTCTCCTGGCCAAGCCCAGACTTGTCCATTAGACTGCCAGATAGAGAAGCGTGATTCATCACTCCACAGAATACTTTTCCACTGCTCCGGAGTCCAGTGGCAACATGCTTTACACCACTCTGCGAGTTTGTGTGGACTACCACATTGCAGCTGAGCTGTTGTTGCTCCTAGGTGCTTCCATTTCACAATAATAACATTTACAGTTGATTTGGACAGATGAACCAGGACAGAAATTTCACAAACTGACTTGTGGCGAAGGTGGCATCCTATGACATGGTTAAAGTCACTGAGCTCATCAATACGACCTATTCTACTGCCAATGTTTATTTGTCAAGACTGCAAGGCTATGAGCTTGATTTTATCCACCTGTTAGCAATGGGTGTAGCTGAACTCAATAATTAGCAGGGGTGGCCAATACTTTTGTCTATATGGTGTATGTCATAGATCATACCTCAAAAAGTCATACATCCCCTTTCCCTATGGCACTGGTTTCTTCCAAAAGCCGCTACATGAAATCAGTTTGCAGCAACAGATACAGGTGCAGCGCTCTGTGCGCATCAGTGCTGAACGTGTAATGTGTTGCCGAAGTCGTTAGTAGAGCATAAGTCCCTTTTTTAAAACGTGTGTAAATGAAATGCAGTTTGTTATACATATTTAAGTGCATTTGAAAAATATAAATATAGTTTGCTTTGCAAGATTTTACAAGAAACTGTTCTACTTTTGGCTCCCAAGGTGGTTTGATTTTTGTAGAAAGGACAAAATGGCTCTTCTTAACCTTTGGGTTGTTGACTCCTGACCTAACCTATCTTTTAATGCAGAGGGTGCCAGTCGGATTTCTCGCTCATCCAGTTGTGCTTTTGTTATGTGCACGCCACAGACTGTCTGGGCGCTGTCTTTCCACACTTCCAAGTTCCACCTTTTGCGTTCTGTCAACATTCCGCAATAAATTCAAGTTTAGAAAATCGATTTTTGACATTAGTGATTTAATTCAGAATCATCCACGTCCGCATCACGATGCATCTAAGAATCAAATTTTCCCCCCACCCCTACCAAGAAAGGCCACTCCTTTTTCAAGTGCCTGGAAGCTATGACTAAAAATCCAGTGTCTACAGACTCCCAAGTCATGTCTGCTTCACCACCGAAGGCTGCAGGTGAAGTTATTCTGCTCACTCATCATGACAGTGACAAAAACAATTCAGTGGAAATTCCCAACAGTGACCCATAAAATGATGAGAAAAAAAGGTTATGCCATCAGATGTGTCAGGAAGCCAGAACAGATCAGACTCTTGCTCTTTAAAAAGAAACAGGTTATAGTTTACTTGAGGGCTTTGGAGTATCAGAAAGAGCGTAGTCATAACAGGTCAGGGTCAAAACCAGAGGGCATGATAACCAAAACAAAAGGGACATACAGAGAGAATCCAATAACCAGTCTAAGTTCAATCAATAATGTTCAGCAAGCCAACCAAAAAGGTGCAAAAACAAAAACAGGTTATACACAGATAAGGCTTTCAGACAGCAAGCACCCACCACACAACAGGAAACTGTTGGCAATACTTCACAATGTTCTTAACTACGGCTTTGCTTATATACTAACTGATTACATTAACATTAACAGGTATAAACTCAGAACTCCGGTGAGGTGGAGGATTGGAATGAAAATCTATTGGTTGAAGGCGATGATGGAGAAGTCATGTGATCTCCCACTGATTAATGGGAACTGGAGTCTTCCAGACATTCGATTGACTCAAGTGAGCTGGCAGGAGAAAGTGGACAATTAGAGGAGGAGTCCTCGGCAGGAGGCGTGACATTAAGCACAATAAAAAAGATGAGAGAGTGAGTATAAAAATGATGCAATAATCTTATATTATTATTGTCCTGACATATACTTTCTATAAGTATTAGGGGGATAAAATCAGAAAAGTATAGACAAAAGAAAACAAGTTGCTTAAAGAAAGTTAAATGCGATGTAATATGTGCTCAGGAGTGGAGACCAAACATTCAGAGTGACCTAGAGATTGTTAAAACACTGGGGACTGAAGGGACAGTGGCGCCATCCATTGGGAAGGACCAAGCTGATAGGGTAGGCATCTTTTTAAAAGACGCAGTTGACATTATTAAATGCAGAGAGATCAATCCGGGAAGAATTATGGTTGATTGCTATTTTAAAAATATGAAGATGAGAATTAGAAATGTGTATATTTTTCCCAATATGGCAGGAAAAATTTTAATAAGCTGTTTAAATTACTGTGTGTTGGTTTCCTTGTAATGCTCTGTGGTGATTTTAACACCATCACCGACTTCAGAGACAGAATCCCAGTGAAAA